ACCTGAGTCGACCCTGTCGGGAAAAGAAACAGGTGATGCTTAACTTGATTATTCTGTGATTAAATACTAATTAGCAATTGACATTTGTAGCGCAAAAGTTAGATTTCGTGACATTAGATTTCACAATAATGTAGACAAAGTCCGAGTATATTTACGATGTAAAATGATGTAACTGCATGCATTTTCTTAGGCTAAATAAGGTGAAAGAACGTGGGATTTTGTAATAGACACTTAATTTAGATACATTACAATGGGAACTTTTACTGTACATGTGATTAATGTAAAAATACTGCCTTACGCAAGGATAGTAGAAAAACCACGGTATACTTAGAATGTTTTAGTTTAGTTGAGTTGATCGTTGATCGTTGATCGTTTAGTTACGTTGATCGTTGTGTTACGAACGTTGAGTATATGAGAGTTGTACATCGCAGTAGATTGTTGGATTGCATTAAATCGTGTTGTTACATCGAAAGATACAGTCCTCTTGATTTGTTTGAACCAGCGGAGCGGGGTTAAAAGAATTCCGCAACATCTGACCCGACTAGACGACGCAAATTGATTATATGAGGGAAAAGTTGGCCCGGATAGGAGGGAGACTCTAGGATCGAAAAAGGGTGACCCGGCTGGGCGGCCAGCCTTGCTTTCCCGGCTCCAAAAAAAATTTAAGTTGAACAAAACTATGCTACCTCGATACTCTTAACTGGCTTTTACATGATAGTTGTGCAGATTCTCTTGGGGCGCGCGATGCTTTATTAAAAACACAACTTACCATCTAAACCACTGTTCTGTTTTCTTAATCTAACTCTGCACAATATCAATATGCGAAGGGTAGGGGTGTGGTTACGTTTTGGGGAGGGGAGTTAATCGAATTAGTCTATTTTAAGAGAAAATAGAGACCGAACAGGTTCATCTGGATCCTATTATCAATGGAACAATTTCAAATGTCATATGTGACTTAGTAACAACTTAATATAACCTTTGTAAGGGGCCTTATCTACAATTACTATTCTATGCAGTGATGCGCTCAAAATTTGGTATAAAATACTTCTTCTTTTAAGAGGATCTCAATAGGGATTACCGTCAGCCGTCAAATGGCCTAAAAATTAACCGTCAACCGTCAGAAAAGGTTAATTCTTTACTGTCAATTGTCAAAAATGCAGGTTAAGATTAAACGTCAAAATCTTCAAAGTATTTGATTCTCACTACTTCACCTGATAAACACGGCATTCCGGCTCCTGAAGAATTTCTAAACTGGAAGAACCAGTTCCTCTTTCTAGACATTACAATTACTGACCTGCTAATATCTGATATTATTACACATTGTACCCGTGATCTATATTCTTCCTGGCTAAGATCCTACAGTTAATTTTGGAAATCAACGCAACCTACAGATTAGTTAGTTATCTGCTGCGCGCAATGCATGATTCGGCTCAGCTGATAACACTTACCTCGACCTTGATTATTCCGGATATCACAAAAACCGAATCCAATAATTGTTTAATAATTCGAAAGTCAAAAGCTCTAAAATTTAACCGTCGGCCGTCAAAATTGGAAAAAATTAACCGTCAACCGTCCAAGCAAACACTCCATTGAGACCCTCTTCTAAGACTTCAGCTTAAACTGTTTTCGCTTTAGTTTAACTCCATTACTTACTCACTTTCAGCGCTTAATCAGCGACAAGGGCAACGAAAATCTTTCCTATCTTTTCCTTTTTATCTTAGCAGGATCTGTAGCGATTATTCCAACTCTTTTAGGTTAATGTACAATGTAGTTGAAGTACCTAAGAACTGTATGGATAGTAACTTAATACAGTCTTCGAGTCTGATCAGTTACAGACTGCTTGCAGTCGGCATTTTCTCTTAAAATCCGTCTAGTTCTTATCTCAGCCGGCGCGATTGCAAACGACGACGTTATGTTACAACAAGGGATTGGGACAAGACGCGGCTCGCGTGCTTGGGTTTCCGACGTCCAGTAACTTTGCAAAGAAAAAATAAGAGACTGCTCGCAGTCTAGATCAGTTGAAAAAAATTAATTGTCACTGTCGTGTGTTCACATTCTCTGCTAATCAGAGAACCTCCATCTTGCAATCGGTCATTACGGCTGGGCTGTTGAATTCAAGACAAGGCAAAGAAATGTACAAAAATGTAATTTGTACAACAACGCACGTCCAGGTGCTCTTTTGTAGCGCGACTTGCAGAGCTCCAGTTTCCAGAACGATCCGGTTGGGTTTTCATTTTGCCCTTCTACCTGCAGTCGCTATCAGCCGGAGCATGATGTTAGCCTGAAAGATCTTGGCTCTTGTTATCGGAATTCATTATTTCAACATCTGAACATGATAATGCTTTCTTTTGAGTAATAAAGGAAATTTCTTGGAACTCCACAGGAGTCAGGATATTGCTTAAGGCAATCAAGACCTCGACGAATATACTATGTAAACAAGACATTGTGTTTAATATTTTTGGCTATTCTTCGATATCTATGGTCTTTCCCTAAAGGGCTCTAGTCTTTATATATGATTTAATTTTTTTCCCCACTGGCCTATACCTTCAAAACGCAGCTAAACTGCCCGTGAAGTATCAAGGGTTATGGAAGAGTGGTTTTAGATGTATTAAATTTCTGTTGTGAGAGAGTCGTTTTGGGAACTTAGTATCATAGTTAATAGAGTGGAATGATTATGAAACCCGTCAGACTCCTTTGGTATATGTTTTTGTGGACCTGACACGGTGCACAACGTTCAATAGCATTCCTAAAATTTTGATCTTATTCACCAATAAACGCGTTCCATTAAATTTATTTCGTCACAATTTGCCAACAGAAAACAAAGGATTGTGCACCATCAGGGAGCTTCCAACAAAAACGACAGCACTGTTGTTTTTATATTTGACGGTTTGTTGCCTTTCATAACCAGTCTCCTCTAATAACTAAGACCCTGTTTACATGGAGTAGGGGACGCCGGTCTAGTGGGGTAGGTTTCTTTTGTTTTGTGTCCCCCAGAGCGTAAAAACAAAAGAAACCAACCCCACTAGACCGGGGTCCCCCTCTCCATGTAAACAGGCCCTACGGTGATATATGGGATAATGCTTGAGCTTCGATGCTTTCTTAAAAATAATGACCGAGCGTGCAGCCTACAATTGTCTTGAACAAGTTATTATTTTCAATAAATGAAGAGTACTGGTCACTGAGGAGGAATGGGAGGTAATTTTTGCGGATAATAACCTACTATTGGCTACTAATGCTCTTCGTTAATCACAATAATAACCTGCTGGTTCTAAAACAATGAAAAAAGGGCGTTTTCGAAAAGACCCGGTGCTGCGCGCTCGGTCATTACTTTTAAGAAGGCCTCGGAGCTCAAGCATTATCCTGCATAATATCAAACCACCCCTGGGCAATTCGTTAGTTCCTGTAGAGGCTGAAAATAAGAAAGTACCCCTCCCTCCCTCACTACTACAGCCTTGGAATAAAACGCTATTGCTGGTGATAATTAGCAAACTATTGCATCGTCATGGTGACTTCAATAAAAAGCCTAAATCAGACTATCGTGAAATGTATGCCATAAAAGATAATTTTTCTTTTCGCGTAGAATAAAACATATTTGACACGCCATAGTGACTACGTACACATTTATTAAGTCTTTTTTTTAACTGCAAAGAATAAGTAAAAGAAAGTTAATTTGTGTTTTACATCTTGGAGAAATTGCAGCAAAATGCATCGCATTAGTTGTCAATCTGAATTGGGAGTTTGAAAATTTAACGTTTACCTTAATTTTAATTACTGACAGTTTATACCTTCCTTTCCAGGTATAGTTTTAAAGAAAAAGTATCCTGCAAAATATTGCACTCGAGTGTAACAAGCAGTGATAATGGTATCACGTACATGTACTATTTGGTTTGCATTATATTCAAAATCACTCTTTCATTATAAATGAATCAACTACAACCAAAGGGCTAAATGAATGTGCTGATAATCAACATGACGGTGACAAGATTGCACAAATATGCTGTGTGATGTAACCTAAATAATTAATGGCCTCAGGGTTCTTTATAAATTTAGCGTTTGCAGTATACACTTTAATTTACATTTCGTTCGAACCTTACGCACAGCTGTAGTCAGGAAAACTTTGACCGTCATTTTAAACTTTTTTGCTGTGTGACACAAGCCAGGCGCGGTAGCCTTAAAGAAGCTCATCACAATTGTAAGTATTGTAGTATTGCATTCCTGACCAATTTTTTCCTGTTCCCGCTGTTTTCTCGAACTTGCATGCCCATTGAAAGTCGGCCTCTTCCAGAAAATGTGGGTACGAGAGCCCATTCTCGTAAAAGACCTCTTCTAGTTGCTACCACTGACTTTTATGGGTTCCTGTGGGGATCTCTTATGAGAGATTTCCAGGTCATTCAAGGACTCGCACATCGTAACGTTGAATTTGAATTGCTTCATGTCATTTTCCTTCTCGCGCGCCCGTTTTTTCTCGTGCCCACTACTTCCAAGCGCCTGCTACGCAGGCTATCATTTTCCCGACCACCCTGATTAAACTTTATTTGGACCTTATGCTTGAAGAAAACTTCATTTTCATTTACCTGTATCTATTAAAGGCTGTGTCTCCGCTGTCTTTCTCACATTTTGTTAACAATGCCAATAACGCGTACATATTCACTGTGGAACTTGAGAAATTTCTTGTGAATGACAAAATCACAGCTTGGCGTCAAAAGAATATGTCTCCCAAGCATTATATCAAATATTACAAACACAAAAAATGAACTTTGAAAAACTGTTAGGCTAAAAATTTTCAAAACCGCAGTTGCAATCCGATTCAGTCTTCTTCGAGTTTGTCCAACCTTGTCTCCTGTTATATTTGCTGTGTTATCTATCCTTCTTTTAACGTTCTGAGCGATTATTTTCATGTTTCATTCAATTTGATAGCAGTTACACTGTTTGATGTGTGAAAAAATTCGTGACACAGTTCCTTTAAAGTTTACAGTGTACTTATTTCTTAGTTTTTGTAGATGAAGTTGTCTTTGGTTTCCATGGCAATGTTCATCCTTGTTGTAATGCTCGGTGTGAAGGACTCACAGCAAATGCTGAGGAGGCTCATGGATCCAAGGGGACCACCGAAAGGACCTCCAAAAGGACCCTTAAGAGGGCTTCTGGGAGGGCCACCAACAAAACCAGCGAATAGAACCTGCACTAAGATGAGTAAGTTAGTGGCTGACCATCTCACTTTTGAGAAAGAGGAAGTGTTGGTGTGATTTCAAACTAAAAAGTTATCCTGCAAACAGACCTAGAACAAAGATATCATATTGCGTCAAATCATTATTTGTACCAAAGAATTAAGGAAAAACGTTCTCGGTTGTACCCTTGGAAAACGTCGCAATTTTTGTCTCAATTAAGTCACCGAGCAACCCCCTCCCTCCGCTTGAGCCTCGAAGAAAAGTACAAACTTTGATATTTGAAACTGGCCTTTTGATAAATTTTCCATTTCATACTGATTTTACAAATTGTAGAGTTTAAAAAAACCTTTTGAAGAGATTAAAGACAACTCGATCGGTTGGCTTGAGGAACACGTGGTAACAGTAAGTTTTTCTGTCTGTCCCCCTGGAATCTTACTAGAATTAAAGAGACAGGGATTTTAAAGAAAGAAAATTACGAGAATAGGCACTGATACAACGTGAGCGCAAAAGCACTGAACTTGAATGTATTAATTGTATAAAACGCTATTTTAGTATACCACACAAAGAATGCTGGTGATTGCTTAAATAACATATCCGGCTGAAAGTAGTGAACCCATCAGGGGTGGGGCTTTTCAGAAGTTAGGTACGGTAATCTTACACTTTCGCTTCCCAAAGTTACCAAATTTAAGTTTCAACAAAATTTCAAATTCTTTTTGTAAAAGCTGCTGAAGAACAAATAGTACAAACGTCTGCCTGGAAAGCGGTGTTATTTGGATGGTCACAACATAGGATCCCGTCCATAGGCTCAAAAAGTCAAAGGTTGACTCCTTGAGTTAACGTTATAACCACGATACAAAACTACATCATTGACTAGCTCTTGGAGTAAAGCGGTTAAAATTTTAATGCATTTTCCTTTCCTAGGCTACCGAATGGTATTTCCTGAACGAAGAGTCGAAAATTACGTTCTTATTAGGAACGCCATCAAACAGGAACTCAGGGCAATTACACTGTGCTCCTTTGTAAAAGACAATGTGTCTGACAGCAGCAATGAAAAACAGTGTCCTTACAGCTACGCCGTCCCTGGGCAACACAACGAGTTTTCCTTTTGCACATCTCCAACTCTTCAAGTGCTGATCAATGGAACTACCAGGTAACAGATTTAATATTTTTCACCATGATCTCCTTCTTTAGGTTTTCTTGGGATGAAAATATTATTAAAAGTGTCTGTTTTAGAGAGTTTTCTGCCTTAGTGACCACTTCGAGATACCCATGAGACTATCGATTTGCACCATGGGACCACTTATTGTAGCCTATTAATTAACGTGATGAGTGTCCCCAAAACTGCCCCACAAAGTAAATGGTACCAAGATAACGCCCTAAAACAATCACTCTCCGAAGTTATTAATCTATATTTATTTATACGGTTTGCTTTTTCACCAACGATTATCAAACTTCAAGGCTCGAATTCGTATCTGAAAGAATGCTCAATTTAATACATTGCCAAAAGAAATAGCCTGAATATACAAGGGCTTCAGTTTGTCTTACTGAAAATAGGGTGAAAAACCGTCACTTAAAACTTTGAGCTTTTCTTTTCATTTCCCAACATTCTGTCTTTTCTTGCCCGCGTTTTTCTGTTGACAGGAAAACCAGTGTTTCTATCGAAGACGGTAAATGGCACCATATTTGTTTCACTTGGGAGAGTTGTACCGGACGATACAGATTTTTTTCAAAGACGGCAGAACAGTCGTCATGGGTTCTGACTTTCAAAAGGGCTACAAGATCAGAGAGGGAGGGACATTAGTACTTGGTCAAGACCAGGACAAGCTTGCTGGAGACTTTGATGTCGAAGAAGCGTTTGTAGGCGAATTATCCCAGCTTAATGTATGGGACAGCGTTCTTCCGAGGAGGGCTATTGCCAAACAACGTAAAAAATGTCACATTACCAAAGGCACAATCAACTGGTGGGAGCAGTTTAAGGATTTTGTCTTTGGAGGAGTGAAAGTGATTGAAAAATAATTCTGACTCACGTGTTATCCGTCGTCGGAAAGGTGTTGTCTATATAATAAAGATGGCCGTAACAAAGAGTCAATTCAGCCCTGTAGTTTCTTTTGTGTATATTTCGTGTCATTAGGACTATGGTATGTAAAGCCAGTCACCCAAACCTTCCGCCTTGCAATAAGTGTTGATGCTAGACTGGGGCAAACTCAAGGCAAAATTATGGCTGTCGCGAAGGGAGTGATTCGTTGGGTAATTCGCTACCTTCCATCGACTGATTTCTATCTGTAAGGTTTAAATTGATAACTAATGGTATGGTATTATGGTACGCATGGTAGGTATATGGTACGCATGGTAGACTGCAAAACAGTCGATTTTCTTCTCAAAATCGGTTCAGCGCTAGCGTAGCTTAAGAATAGCGTTAAAGTCTTACTATTCGCGCGTACTTGAATACGCAAAAATACGGACTGTTTTGCAGCCTACTTGCACGGCCTTGGGCCCGGTAGCATACTTTTACTAAGGGAAGGGTTTTTGGTGCTCGTGGGTACTTTCGTACATGTACTTTATTTCCATTTGTGACCTAACTGCACATTAGTTCCATTTTAACCAGGAACCACTAATTAACGCTATTTCGGAAGGATCTTAGTTCTGAAAGTGGGTATGAAAGAACCAATAATGCCAGTCTAACCAAATAGTCACTAAGTGAGCATTTAAAATTTACTTCAGTTGCAAATGTGAAACTGTTAAAAAACACAGGCAAACTCCAAATCAGCTGACACAGTGGAACTTCATTGTGTTGTAGAGTAAGTTCATGAGATTCATTTAAGTGCCGAATTTGGTTTCTTTCGGGTTGCTTTCGCTATCTTAACAGAAAGCAGCTTTTCATACATTCAAATTCAACTTAATAACTAGATCTCGAGTAGAGAAAGGAAACATAAAAATAAGCTTAATACATTTTATTACTTGTGCCCACTATTTCAAATGTGTCGTAATCAAGTTGAATTTGAAATATCCGACCCTACTCCTCAGAAACCTCCCCAAACTTATGCATAACCTTTGTTCCCAATTCCACCGGGATATTACATTTAGATCCCTTTCATGTCTTTGGAAGTTTAAAATAACGGTTATGCAAAGTTTTGAGGGGTAAGCAAAATTGCTATCGGGAATGTGAAAGTGGTGATCACGCACAAAAAGGTCTTTTCTTTTCAACTGCTACTGAGAACACACAGGCGAAGATGAACCCAAAGTGGACACAAATAATCCCTTAATCGAACTGTTTCAGGGTAAAATTGTGCAAGTGTGCTCATAGGTCCACAAGGCTATAGGCACTTTAGGGCTGAAAAAGATCTTATGACTTAGCAGGGTACTGTATATTTTGTCATGAATCTGTGATTTTAAAGCTGGAAGTTGAGAGGAACTTCCTCTAAGTTCCTAACTAAGCGAACTAAGCGCCTTCTTTAAATCATTAATCAATGCTTTTGTAATTTGTAAGACTCTCTTGAAAACTGATCGGTTTATCTGACATTCCGATTTGTCTTTTGTCAAAAATAGCCTCGATTTCTGTCAGAGTTTTCCCTTTAGTTTCCGGCATAACCATGTAAACAAAAATAAATCCAAGAATGGAGCATCCCCCGAAGAACCAATATGTTCCCTGAATGCTCATTGACGTCTGCATGGTGTTATATGTCTTGGTAACAATAAATACTGCCAGCCAGTTCGCAATAGTTGCAAGACTGGAGCAAGGGCCTCGAGCTCGCGGGGGAAATATTTCTGACATGACAAGCCACGGTACGGGACCCCAAGCGAAAGCAAAAAACAGGTTGAACAAAACTATACAGACGATGGCAAGCCAGTTTATCTTTGATGAGGGGACTGAATGGCTGATGGGACCCAACAGGGAGGTTACGTCAGAAGATGAGTTTGCACCCGGCGGTGGTATGCAGATTTCAAAATACGCGCCAAGGCCAAAAAGGGTACAGGACATAGCAATTGACATCGTTAACAAGAGGACTCGTCGTCCCGTTTTGTCAATCACTAAACATGCCAAACTGGTGCCTAAAAACTGGACCAAACCAACTGAAATGCTGACAAGTTTGCTGTCTGTAAAGCCTGCAACTTCAAAGATACTAGCAGCATTAAATACCACAGCAGTGATTCCAGATAGCTGTTGGAAAATCATTAACCCAATGCTGATTATCAAGGGTTTTGTTATCACAGGTGATAGCCAATCAGGCAATGAAAGCTTTTCCTCATGACCTGCAAGATAAAATAAGAACATAAAAAAATAAAATGACAACAACAATGTTTACTTGCAAATTCTGAACTCAAAAGAATAGCGCACAGTAGCTTAACATGAGTTAAATACATTTTTCTGCCCTTAGACCTTTGGAGAAGTGCGGACTGGCCGAGCGATTAGAGCGCTGGACTTGTAATTTTGAGGCCCAGAGTTTTTGTAGAATAGCAGCCACCTGAGTTGCCTCCGGGATTCTCAACCAGGTTTTGTTTCATTTTTTTGTCCATTTCTTTTGACCAACCCTTGACGCAGTAAGGAAAGTAAGTACAAAATGCTGCCAAAAAAGAAATGCCGTCTTGTCTTTTCTTTTAAAGATGCATCGATTTTTATTTTCTGATTTTCCTGTTATTCATCGTTCCCCTATAGATTCTATTAATGAATCCATTCAGTATTTGAAAATTGAATCGTTGGTCATTGGCAATATTTTAATTCTTGAGCTACGCAATAAAAATACATGAGTTTATAAGCGAGGTTAAGTAAAAACATTTTTTTAAAATTCTTTCAACACAGCTGTATTTTTCAATAATTGCCTTCATAGGAAGACTAGGAACTTAATCCAGTCCAAGTGTGAAGGAGTGTTTTCAGTTTGACCGAATAACTAGTCTAAGAGACGTTGTTGGCTAAAATTTACTGCTAATTATGCATTCTGGAATTTAGATTTGAATTTGATACCAGCACCGGTATCCGAAGTCAGCCAACATTTGGCGACGATACCATCCGCTGGTTTCCCTCCAAACTGAAGTCTGTGGAATTCAGCTCAGAAATTCCATACTGATGACGTGTCACGACCCAGATCTTGGTACTACTTCTGTTTGGAATTAAGCAAACTTCCCTCGCAGCACGACAAATCAGAAGCTGCACCCAGGTCTGGGTAGCGGCACGTCGACAGTATGGAATTTCTGCGCCAGTTCTTCAGACGTCGTTTCGTGGGGAAACCATTGGTCGCAAGGAGAGATGCGAGCTGTTTTCTAAGGCTACACAGGCTTCACAGCAGCGGCAACGACTAACGAGGGATTCAAATTTCAAGCAATGGATTTATTAATCCAATCTATGGGGGTAGACTTGACCTGCAGTCTCAATCAAAACTGTTGGCAGGGACACTTTATTGTCTTCTCGCTTTTCCAATGTTAGTGCACAAGACAGGCGCGGATACACACCGGTTTCAATCGTTTTACGGAAATCGGTCAGATTTTTCATAATAAATATCTGGAAAATGGTTTGGAATCTCCTTGCTTCGTATCCTCTACAATATGGAAATTGACCTTGATGAAATAATCAGCCGATTTGAAAGGCTTCATCCGAGGAGAATGAAGTGGCCAATATCCTTTCTTAATGACGGAGAAACCCAGGAAAGGGGACTTTAGGGAGTTAAAATCCAAGAAATTTCCCAGACGAGCATGCCCCCTGTTCCCCCTCGAAATTTGCGCCATCGGCGCTCGTTTAGGAAATCGGTCAGTATTTATCCTGGATCCAGACCTGCAAGATTTGGTGAGCTAACTGCGATAAAAAACACTGGAATTGGGCAGAGTTAAAAAGATTTTGTAGACTTTTTGGTAAAGATTTTGTAGCCTTTTGGTAAGTCCATAAATTCTTACTTCATCCCGCAGGTAAAATTTACACACTTTTCATTGCCATTCTCTATATGAACATTTAAAAGAACTCCATGAAATGTCTGCAAAACTCATTTTACAGACATTTTGTTTTCTCTGTGAGAAAGAGACGAAGATTTGTACATTTATAAAAAGTCTATAAATTTACAAATTATTATCATTATATGTCAGTAAAAAGGTCCAGTTTTTCCAGTGGAAGGGAGAGTACGGACGAGATGGAAATATACAGCGTACAGTGAAAGTATCCCAGGTATTTTTGTCTCAGACTGAGGCTTGTCATTAACAGCATGTAAACAGAAAAATACAACCTCTTACCAGTTATCACCTCAACTTTTAAACCCTCTTTCTCGATGTCGATTTCGATGTCAGAGCCCCGTAGCCATACAAGCGAGTCTAATGCTTCTTTTCTGTGTTTCTTTCTTAATAACCATATCGGAGTCTCGGGCATAAAGTACAAAAATATAACGAGGAGGGCTGGAGGGACTCCACCGATAAGAGCCAGCAATTTCCAATGACAAAAGACGCCTGCTATAAAGGACATCACAAGGCCAGTAACGATGGCCAGTGTACTAATAGAACCCAGCATGCCACGAGTCCGTGGGTGTGCAATCTCGGCGATGTATACCTTTAGGACAACAGAAATTCACAGTTAGGAGCCCCAATTTAAATTCTCAAAATGTAACTTTTCCCAGAAAAATAAACCTACGCCGGAATTCCTAGCGGATCGAAGCTTTTAAGAAAGCTTCAATTTACACTCTTTGTTCATTTGCAGAATAATAAATAGTACAACATATTTTTCCACTTCTTTGAATTTTCACATTTCCTTTTTCTTTATAGCTTGTTTAAAAAACTTACTGGAGCCGCAACTGAAACAATGCCACAAGCCAAGCCTGTAGTGATGCGACCAGCGTACAACATAGCCCGATTCTGCGCAAAGCTTATCAGAAGCCATCCAAGTTCAAAGGGAACAGAACAGAAGAGTAAGGCCCTCTTGCGACCAAACTTATCAATCGCCCATCCACCTATGGGACATCCAAAAACAGCACCGACTGCCACCAAAGACTGCAAAAAGAAAAGAAGGAAAGGAGAGTTGAATATTCCAAGGGCTTGCGAAATAAATTTTAGCAAGAATAAAGAGCCCTCTGGTAGATTGATTTCTCAATATAGTAAGTACAACTGTATTAATACCCGGTATTGTTCACTGTATACTTAAGAAGTTTCAGCATGACTTGATTGGTATTATTAAAAATGGTGTCTCTTAAGACATCATTTTAAGGCCTCTTCAAGATGTTAGCCTAACTTTTAAATTAAGTTTTTAACTTTGCGTTATAAAATATATTTGAGCTAGCTCCCTTCCTCGGTTCTACCCTGTAAGACAAAATCAGCGTTTTTGTAGACCATATCCAGCTGAATAAGCAGATCATAATGATTTACTGTATGCCAAATAACAACATAAAAAAAGTAACGACCGCGCTCTGATTGGCTAATTACCCATTTAACTAGCGGCTGTTCAAAGCCGTAAGGGTCACGTCTACACGGGTATATTAATATTGTTTCTTTCTCATAGTTTGTAAAGGCATTTGTCTCACGACTGAGAGAAAGCTGACAAAAACAGTTAAAGATAGCAGCGTGACAAGGCTTTAAAATCCACATTGAGACGGAGAACTACCACTACTACTTATTCAGCAAAAAGCTCAGTTTTTAAAAGAAAAGACTTTGCAAAGAATGATTTCATGTACTCGCCAAAGCGCGCGCAGATTGCACAACGTACACCAACACTAAATATCATTTCCCTGTTATCTGCGAACAAAATTAAAAGTGCTTCTCTTTTTATTATGTTATAAAAGATGGTAAACGTTGCACCTGTACAACCATCGTCTTACGCATGCACTTAATGGAAGGTTTTACTTTTGCACGCACTCAAGAAGCTTAAGTTGCTCTTACGCTCTTACGTTTCTTTCGTGTTTAGCAACCTCCTGAGTACGTCCATAACTCGCCCGTTAACCATTTCATTTAATAGACTACATAAAGGAAATCCCTACTATCAACTTCCGACACCAAGTTTAACGTCCCATTTAATGTTTCCGCATCGTTGATCCTAGTTTTTGGCTTAAGTGATGTCCTACTCCAGGACACATAAACTCCTAAAAGCAAAATCAGTCTCTTTGAAACAGTACCGGCACTCGGCAGTGGAGTTCATCAGAATTTCAACTTGAATGTGAGGGCTGGCGTTGCAACTGCAGGATATTGTTTCGAAAAATGTTGAAAGTTACTCAGTATAACATAACGAGTTAACATATTATATCTTTTCTTTTAATTTTGTGTTTGTTGTTTGTTTCATTGCTGAAGGAGGTCAAGGTTAGCCTGGATTTTGTCTTGAGTTTTCTTGTTTTGATTTTTTGATTTTACTATTGCTTGAATTTATGCTTAGCTCGCAGTTTAATTTCCATTTTTGGAATATTCCTGTCTTGGCATAACCAGATGTGAGTTTTACATAGATGTTCGTGTTTGGGAGGTCCAAAACCGACCATGGTTTATTGTGCCCCTTTAAGTTCCTGTTTGGGTTTGGTTTCAGGGCTTTTAGTTTTTCATTGGTTTGTTGCTACTTTTTAATCACAGCTGTGTAGGTTTAGTCACATCAAAACATAAACCCACCAAGTTCGCCTTGTTTTGTATTCTCACACCTGTCAGACTACCTACATATGTACAAAATAATCTATATTTAAACGGCTACTGTTAGGCTTGTTAGTGAGTAGGAGTTGGAGTTGAGTAAGAGTTACGGCTGTTAGTAAAAATTAATAGAAGATAAAAAAGCGAGAATGGAAGAAGTAAAGACGAAGATGTAAAAAGTGGCTCCTGGTACGTTCTCGCTTAGCCAAGCGAGTAGTTCGAGCAGCGAGACTTTTTATTCCAATGCAAAAAAAAAAAAATTGAGCAAGAAAAGTTTTGCACTTGGCCTCGTATTGAAAGTGAGAGTTTTTGGGGCTCGGCGGAAGTAGCCTATTGCAAACAAATGGTTTTTGGCTGAAGGTGTAAAACAATTAACTGTTGAAACCCGTGGTGCTCCGGCGACAGTAGCCTGCGTGCAGACAATAACTAAACTCTGATTACTACCGTCTGCGAAGCAGCGCAGAGATCCTTGTTCTGGACCCCCAACGGACTCAACGAATTACCGGAAGTGCGTTTCGAATTCCCCTTCAACCTGATTGGCGATCACGACAAACAAAACAAAGGCCTTTTTTAACTGGCCAATCGTGGTGCGTACTCAAATCTGGAGTGGGTACACAGCTGGAAGTCCAGAACAAGGATTTCGGCGCTGTTTCGCAGACGGAGTTAACCAGAGTTTAATTTCGTCTGAGCGCAGGCTACGGCGACAGCTGCAAAGAGAAAATTTGCTTGACCAGGCACAGCCGTATTAGCTGAAAATAATTTTAAATTTAATCGTTCCATGCGCTCAGTCTACGACCGACTCAAAGGAATTTCAGGTCGACATCATAACTATAGACTAATCAGCCTCAATATGCCTTCGATCTTGATCGGACAAGACTTTGTATTATTTTTATGCTTTCTGTTTTGTCTAAGTGAGAACAATGATAAATTGGGTAGAAATGGAAATCAAATACTGCATGCAATAACAGTGTTAGGTAAATTCGTGAAACATGGCCACTAGAATGTAGTATAGTTTTTTCCTTCGGTAAATCTAAGGGCGCGCTTTGTATTCCCCGGCGCTAATTTAAATTTAGGTGACGTCACACTTAGCAAAACATTTCATGCATAATGAAAAAAACCACCGATGCGCATGCTTGGGATCTGACATCCGATTAATACAGAAAATTTGAATAGCCTCAGGCGCTCTATCAACTCTCGCGTAAATAAAACAGACCTTGCCTGCAATAACGAAAATAAAATTATTCTCATTTTTTTAAGGTAAATATTACGGTTTTCAACTTGCTGTTTAGTATTCTTTAACTCTCTGAGTCAAAAATACAGGCAGATTTCACAAAGCCGTTATTATAATCTTATGCATTATTACTGCTCGTTTGCTAAAAACAATTAAAACTACAATTTACTCACGGAAAACCAGGATCCCTGTGCACCAATCAAACGAACAGCAGAATTTGTGTCGGAACTTGTCAAATCCACTAATGCAGATGAGGAATATGCCATGCAATAACCAAAGCTAATCGATCCAAGGGCAGCTACGAAAGACGCAATAATGGATCTTCCAATTTTGTCTTTTGTGGCCATTTTTATGTTCCAGATGGAGACGTAAAATCGCGTTACCGCAAACGAGGATGCTACAGACAAAATAACCTTTCGTCCAGGAACATCTGTAATTATGTCATAATTCATTTAGCGACACACCGGCTCGTCATCAGACATAATGGGCAATCCCAGGATTGAGCAATTTAAAACGATCATATGGGTGTCACATGAACGCAACGAAACCTAAATGTAAGTCTAGTGTAATAAAAAAATTTTGTGTCGTTGTGAAATGATTTTCCTATTTTGCTTTTTAGTTGACACGGCATGTGTACCTTCTAATTGTTATCTGCGTAACTTGAGGAATTTAGTGCGTATACATGTAAATTTAGCCTGTTCACAGTCCCTCTATTTTCTCTTCAAAGTCCGTCGAGAAAGGGTGATAAAATGTAAACCGCAGGGGATTTATTAACCGCCAGCGCAAGGGGGTAGTGGTGGGGGAAGAAGAAAATAGACATTTTCTTTCTCGCGCTCCGCGTTCGTTCTTGCGCGCTCAATTCGCTCGCGAGCTCGCCGATGTTTTTGAAAAGAACGAAAAGAGAAATAAAACAATGTCTGTGTACAGGCTAGTCGAGCGCGGGTGATAAAATATAAACCGCAGCGGATTTATTGTCCGCCAGTGCAAGGGCGCTCGTTCTCCCGAGCTCGCCGATGTTTTCGAAAAGAACGAAGAGAAAAATAAAACAACGTCTGTGTGAGCAGGCTAGTATAAATTGCTTTTCTTCTGGGGGTGGAGCCGCAAGAAGAATGAAGGCGAGACATTGACGTTTGCTCAAGAAGAGTGTTTAACATAAAACATGGGAATTGCTTCTTTTGCAGTTTACAAGCCTGTTTCGTGCTGAATTCTCTCTCCTCCGCGGAGGCCTCTTGGTGTTGAGGGGAGGCTGGGGAGAAAGAAAAAGAGAGCGCGCGGGAAACGATGGGAAGGGGGAAGAGAGAAGGGAGGCTCCCGCACGCTTTCTATTTTTTCGATTATTGCTATTTTCAAAATACCCAGCGGGAGCCTCTACGGAGGAGAGAGTGCTGAATTTGGTCAACTTGATGATGTAAGTCAGTCTTAGACAGATGCTTGGGCGAGATTTATTCAAATAATTGACTCACCCACTTGCTGAGAGGGCGCCATTTTGAATAGATCTCGCCCAAGCATCTGTCTAAGACTACTGACGTTGTATGGAAAAAGGCTTATTTAAAACAAACTGGTGACTTTCTTTGAACGAATTCAGATTCTGAATCACGCGCCGATTTTTATTTAATTTTGGAGAAATTTGTCAATTATAAAATGGGCGAAATAATTGAGTGATGCTGAGTCAAAATAAGGTGAATATGTTTTGGATGTTTCAGGGATTCATGTTACTCGATATCTTTTTTTTGCGTACAGAATATTAGGGCCATGTGTTCTTTTAGTTGGGTCAGCTGGCCCTAGCTAGAGACCGTTCAATAAGAGCATAAGGGGTAGAAATTTTACCAGCAAAAATTGGAGGGCAGAAGTGCCAGAGAGAACCTGTGGGAATAATAGCCAAAGAGCAAGCATTCACTACGCGCGTGAGAGCTAGTTAGCAAGTCATTAAAAAAGTACCCCTCTAACCTACAAACCATTTCGAATTCTCATTGTCTACAGAATTTCTACACTTAATATTCATACTGCTTTCGTTCCAAATACTGGTCAAACATAAGCAAAGTTGTCAAGATGCCCCATGTAGAAAAGCCTGCGTAGCTGGCGCTTGGAAGTGGTGGACGCAAGAAAGAAGGGGCTCGCGTAACGAACAACGCTAGAATTAAAACTAGCTGGAATCAGCCCTGAAACGGACAAAAATGCGAAGAAAACACCATAAATTTAGACAAGGAGACAAGGTAAGATATTCTGATGTATTTTTATAACTATTTTGACCCTAATAACGATCGCTTAAATTTCCATACAAGCTCTTATAATATTTCTGTTACGCAACAACGATTCAACGATTCTCACTAGTGAACTTGGGGCAGCTGTGGAGAAACCGGAAACTACCTTTGAGAAATTCTAGCGGTCGGCATATACACGCGTTGTACTACACCAGTCTTCAGATTTTTGTGAATACCCAAAAATAAACTTTCTACTTAAATCTAGACTGTTCACAGTCCTCTATTTTCTCGTAATATCGTCGAGATCGAGCGCTTTGCGTTACGGGCTGCCATCTTACATGTGTGTCAAAACTACCTAAGGGGCGGGGGCGGTTTGGGGGTTTCTCGCCCCCCTCCCCCTAGAGTTATAATCCCCGACGCCCGCCCCCTCGGTACATTTGAAAATCAAGATGGCAGCCATTAATGGTAAGACGCGCTCTATCTCGACGATCTCGGGAAAAAAATAGGGGACTGTGAACAGTCTTACTAAAATCAAGCCACCCAAAAAACAACAAATACTTAGTGCCATCAATTTCCCTACCCTAAAGAAATTCCCGAATCGGTAGAGGACATCGAGAATTCCCAGACCTGCCTTTAAAAGATTTACGATCATAGTCACTGGTGCTACCAATTTTATGACGTTATTTAGACCATTTCTACAACGTAAGTCAAAATTTTGCTGACAGTTAATACTGAGCAAAACCTAAAGAATATTTTTCCCTGCATTTAACTTAAAATCCAGCCGAAAAATAAAAAACTGTAATTTTTTTTAATTTAAATTCGTAAATAAATTACAAGAAATATTATTCAAAATATCTCACGTTGTTAAAAGACTTTTTGGATGAGGGGCACTAGTGGAGCTTGAATTTGATTGCGGTGTCGAAGGTTCCTTTTCACTTCTTGTAACTTTGAAATTCCTTTCAAATATGATTTCCTCGTCACTAAGTTCTTCACCAAAGCGTGTCATCGGTGGACTCGCTAATCCTAATTCTGGATCGGTACGCCTAATGAATCGATTCTCGCACTTCATCCTTAAAAGAAAAATTGAATTAACAGACTTTGGAAGATGCTAAATTTCTAGCCTGGGACCAGGCTCCTCAGCCAAAAAATCTCAGCGAGCGAAGCCAGCCGAGCGGAAGTCTGGGAACGGGGAAGGGTGGCCTCCCTTACCCTCTCTTCAGTGCACCGCTCTCTCGACGATTGTATTTTTGTTTTGTTTTTTTTTCTTTTTTACTTCGTTTTTTTCCTTTTTCCACCATTGGGGAGCCTCGTCCCAGGCTTTTGAAATTTCAAACAAAACAGTCAGTCGCTGTAATAGCATATCCACTGAACCACTTCCCCGACGCTCCTTAATAACCGTTGTGATTTTTCTCGCCCCCGCCATCTCTTAGAAGAATAAGAAGCAACTAGGCGGAGTACTGATTTCCTTGTTTGTCAACGTTAAAACTTGATATTTTTGCAATACTTATGAACTAAGGGAGAAACAATAACAAATTTTTACCCATGTTGTTGCTTTGCTGCTTAAAGAGCACATTTTATGGTGTGTTCTTGTTCGCTTTAGGTGTTCTTTTTTTCCAGAAATCTGGATCTATACAAAAAGTCGCCGGTTATATTATGCTTTGTTTCAATTTTTGAACAATATCGTATTGGGAGCTCCTCGTAAATAATGTAATCAAAAGCTAATTAATTATTTTCTTCCGGTCTATTGTCTATCTTAGGTTTCAGATGTTTTTTGATATACTTTATCGCCAAAACCCAGGATTCCACATTCCACGAGTAAAATTTTCTTGGATACCGGAGTCCGGGTTACCTTAAATGGGCTGAACCTTAGGCGAGATCATAAGAGTAGCCGGAGATGTAGGTCTTCCTTGCCCTTTCCCCCAAGAAACATCTGATACCCAGACAATCATAAGACACCCACGGACAATTGACGATAAAATAAACCTTATTCACGATTCGCCATCTCATGTGCACGAGAGCAATCGATGGGGAAAAAACAATGTCACATGGTATTCTAAGGGGCAAACAAGTGATAAAATGTGCCAATACGAGTAGTCGAGGTCAAGTTTGCTTATTCTATAAAAACGAGAAGAAATATTAATAATCTTGAAAAATGTACAGTTCGAGTTCTTCACTATTGGTTTCTGTGAGGACATCTACGGTCGCTAATGCATCCATGATCAGTTCTACCCATAACTTGCCCCCATCGTCTTTTTTACAAGTTTTTCATTTTCTGATGTACAGAATAAACAAAATCAACCGCGATTTCTTGCACTGGCAAATTTTTTCACTTGTTCGCCCCCGGAGAAACCATGCAACATTGTTTTTATCCCATCAGTTCTAAAGCTCGCGCAAAGACGGCGGGTATCGTGAATAAGGTCTATTCTGCAGCTAACATTAAACTCACCAAAGTGCTGTCCCAATAACCATCAGTACCATCGCTCCTGCCAATAATCCCACAGTTATGGTCGCAACTTCTCCAGGAGAGAGTGATTCCATTGTTGCTGTAGGCAGGGAATTCTGCTTCCTTGCTATTGATGACCTTCGATCATTCAAGCTTGTTTCGGAATGCGAAGCCATTTTAATGTGTGATCTTGCTCGAGGTTGGGTAGGTCCGTAAGACTTTCTCAGAATAGGTTCCCCTTGCAACAAGCTGTCGCCTATTTTAACTTGAAATGACTGACCTTTGACTGTCTGTTTACGAATTTTACTTTCTGTAACTTCTTCTGCTTTCTTTTTGCTTTCAAAATCCTTTAGTTTAGTTTCTTTCAGAGGTATCATCCCAGCATCCATTGCGGACTCCCTCAAAGCGTGTCCTAGCAGCTGGTCTTTAACTTTCATTGCTCCAGAAGATATTTTCTTTGAATTTTCCCCCACGTTACCATCGCTTGTGTTAGATTTCAGTTCGTTATTCCGCTGTTGAAACGTACGAGGCTGAACGGTGCTTACCTCAAGTGAAGGACGAATAATCTTCCGACGAGCGTTCGCAGATTTCCTAAGTTTACCAGTTGGGGATGAATGGAAATCCCTGCCAGAGTTTGTGGTAATAAGTGTAGTCCTGGATCCCGTGATACTATCTCTGTCGCTGGCGTGTACATCAAACAGGGGGGCAGATAAGTCTTTTCTTTTTTCGGAATAAACGAGTAAACCTACATGTAATTATTAGCAAAGACAGATAGATTAATATCATTTAATATCTAGCTGGATTTTTGAAAACGTTACTTCTAAAGTAGAACTCTTTATAGTCAAGCCGTTTGTTTCGTTCAAAAACTCGTCTCTCTAAAGCAGCAAATATAAAAACTAAGAGGGCAATTATTACATTCTTTCCTTATCACCTCCTTTATATTTCCTTCGCTCTGTATATTTTTCCACTGCTTTTCCTTTCTTAGTGTGATTTTCGGGCTTATCGGATGCAAGCCTTAAAGCGCTATTTCGGCCTCTTTTCGGTTAAGTGGCTGCAATGGCTGGTAGGTACTCCTAGATATAACGTCTATCGTTTGATATCTGTTTAGAAAAGCAAAAATTGCCTAGAATTTCCTATACCTTGGGGAAGACTAAGAATTTTTAGAGGACCGTTCCATTCAAGTACAATTTTCGATTTTTCCCTAAGATTTTCTGAAGTTTAATTTTTCGCAGAAAAAGGCAACCTAAAATTTTCTGATTCGAAAATGCGATGGAAAGAGGAATCAGAAAAATTCTCACTTTCATAAAACATTAAATTGCATCAAAAATATTCGGGAAAATAACACGTCTGAAGCCCTGGTAATTTCGAAAAGACCCAAGTTGCCCTAGGATGACCGAACAGATATAAATATTATAGCGCCGTTAGAATGTATTTCTTAAGATCTAAAAGTATTCTGGATAGCCTAAAAAGTGTTTTTAATGCATTTAGGAGGAAACCGTCGTTGAGTCCCCCTGAGATATATTAGTTCAAATAATATATTGATAGTTTCGGTGAACATCTTATTCAAAGAGTCCACACACGCATTTATCCTTCCCTCGAATCTTACCTTGGCAAACGTTATGAACTACAAACAAGCAAAGCAGATAAGTGAACAATCCCTTTTTCCTTTTCATTTTATGCCCTTGGCAAATGCATCCGTCGACATTAGTAATGGGCTCGCTGTCTTTGAAAAACGCGCGATGTCTTTTGTGTGACGTCACAAAGGTAGTTTCACTACCAGCTCTCGCGCATTAGAATTTTAGCGGAATTCAAGGAAAATTTGGCTACTTCTGAATAGCTGAAATGACTTTTATCCAATAATTACAGCTTTGCAACAAACGTTGAGTAAAACAAGTCGAGTTTGATTGTTCATGTATGCTGAAACGGTGTAGAGCACTCGCACACTTTTGGACGTTCGTGAGAGGAAAATGACACAAAGGGAATCAATAGGGCGCAGTGATCGTTCGCGATGTCGGCACCATGATAGTCCATCAGAGCCAGTAGAATTAAAGCACTGTAGACGCGTCAGATAAGGGGTGGATAAACATAAAGAAGGAATTCTTTGTAGACCCTTTTGGAACTGAGAGTAATATAAGAGCTCTGTTAATCTATCTATCCTGTTGATTTGCACTCCCTTTATATTTTACAAATTCATGGGTAATACACTGTAGACCTTTTGAGCTTGTGTGTATATTATGATTTTAGCCACGAAATATGCAAATATCAATCAGAAGATTGTCTATAACCGTATCGCATGACCAGCCACGTTTTATTTTTATTTTTGAATAATGAGAGGAAGGCTTTTGACGTCTTTCCCTTGATTTCCTTTGCGACGCTATTGCAAGAGTGCAACTATTTCTTTTGTACATGATACAAGCACGTATACAAACAGATGAAGTCTGCTGTAAAGTAAATTTGACATCTGCGATGAACAGGAGTCTTTTTGGATTTGGTTAAGAGCTGAATGTTTCTCTCATGATAATCATTAAACCAAAGTAAAATGTTTTAGAAAAGAATTCATTTGATTTATGACGAATTATCGTGTACATAACCTTAAAAGAGAATTGTCTACTCGAGTAAATTAAGGCATGGGTCAACAGGTATTTTCCCGTAAAAATGAAGGGGGTGGTCTATAATATGAACTGTTTATCATGGTGCACAAAATACCAAAACATAATTATAAACCACAAAAAATTATACTTCAGAAGACACAAATATTATGCAAATTAGGTCACGTAACCTTACAGCTCCACAAAGTCTCAAAAAATCTTTAAGGAAATATGGGCACACTTTTTAGCAAGAGTTATTTTACTTAACTGGTACAAGAAAATACAAAATATAAGCCGCTACAAAACTGCGCTTGGCAACTTTGAAATATCTGGTTGATTTCGAAAATAAACGGGTTTTCTGACTAGTACCCAGTCTCCCAATACAAGTGTATCATTATAACGTGCCTTCCCTTTAAAAAATCCTGACATTGCCAAACGCAGTAATGACAAATCTAACGGCCTTAAAATCATGAATCTAGTAGAAAAATTAAGGAACCAAGAAAAAGTGTGCTCATTTTAGTTCAAAGCTTTTCTGGGCGTGGCGAGTCACGTGACCTCATTTGCATATTTGGTGCAGGCCAAATCGACAAAAACTAGCAGTGTATGTGCCTGACAAGTTTTCAACCTGCCACTGCTAATGCATCGAAAGATAGATCACCCCCTAACTTTTCGACTTTATAACTGGGGACCCATGCCTTAATTAACTTGAGTAAGCTTATTATCGTTCGAGGACTTATAATTATACATATTCACAAAACAGTTAATCAGGAAGTTCTGGAAAAGTTTTCTTCCAAGACCTTATTGCGGAGGTTTCAGAAACAAGCTAAGTTTCCCAACGAACGGTCTAAAATATTTTTTTACTGAAATGTAGTTAAGCCAATGTTTAAAGTACGTTATAATACAAAGAAACTTAGGAAGTGGTGGGAATCGCTGGATGCCAGTTTTTCCGCATAAAAAGAGGGCGTGGTTGATCACATGACCAGGTAATTTCATTTTCCTTTCTTTTTATAACGTTGTTTAATCCTTTTTTGGGTTCGCCTTGTTTTCCTATTTTGGTTTAATTTACCAATTCCTATTCCCCTTTGAATGCCTTTAACTGTAATTTGTGGAAGTTGTGTTTAAAAGTTGTCAAGGAGGCAAACAACGGCGACGGGCAAGAGGAGAGAGGGTAGAAGAAAATTTTCTCTTCTGGACGCCTGGAAATAAGCTCTCTGCTCTGGAATCTACAGCACTTCGATTAAGTATATGTCAAATAAATCGAATATATTCCATAATTCATTAAATATTGAAGATTAATTATTTTATACAAACGTTTCCGATCCATAGGTATTTGGACAAAAAGTAATCTTACTCAGCAAGAAAGCTAATTCAATAAAGTACAGATCAATAACAAATCGCATGTACCTTTATGCTAAACAAGATTGAACATATATTCCGCGTGGCTTAAAATCCTTTGTTATTATCATTTTGCTAATTGCCCTTATGTTTTGCTAAGTGAAGCAAATAATGTTATCTATTTTAAAAGATATTATGAAAACAAGTTGGTTAATCATTAAAGTAGTAAAAAACAGAAAAATTTTTGATCGTCAAAAAGTTCTGGAAATTGCAATAAAATCATGAGAATATGTATCTTATTTCCTTAGAGCTGAGTGTTTTATTTGCTTCAGGCCATAGTTATGTAAAATTGTCTCCCCATGAAGTCATTTGATAACAAATTATAGAGCCCAATTGAGCGTGACTACAAAGGAACCTTTTGTTTTGCCTGCTTCCATGCTGTCAGGAGACACATTCCCTCCGGCGAGTTATAGGGTAGTCTCACGCATGGGTATGTTACGCTCAATGATTGCTTTATAGTTTGTTATCGTGTGTGTAAATACTTGTCTACTTCGCGAGTGGTTAGATATATTTAGATCCGTCTTCACAGACTCAAGACTAAGCTATTACACGCTATTATACACCAATATCAGGCCATCGATCAAAGGTATCTGAAAGGTAAGATTTATTCTTTTTTAAGATCAACTTAATTCAATCACCCTGTTTTTGCTTGAAAGCTTTGAGTCGACGAAGAGTTCGCTTGTTGTTCTAAGTTAGAATCAAAAGCGAAGGATACCTGCTAAGTTAAACTTAGTCAGAGCGAAGTTTGCAGAGCTGATCTGTGAGGTCTGAGTACTAAGATTTTTAAAAGGTACATGCATTTTGGGGGGAAACAGTGAATGGACACAGTATTTCGTTAAGATAAACTAACGGCGTGGACATTGGCGGTGTCGACTAATGTCTTTACAAGCCAAGTGGAAAAACATCGAAAACAAATCAGACTGAAACTTAAAAAACTTAGTGGTATCTCTAATAAAAGTTTTATTCAGTAAAGTTGTTAGACAGGATATTTTGATGTTCGGTTTGGCGAGGACCTTAAGAATTATCCGGTTGACCATGCAAGAACGTTTAGCCGGGCGAAAATCTTTAGTTAGTTAATGAGCCATAAATCATAACAACAAGTTGAGGTGTGTGGTGGGCAGGCAGGTGAAGCACCAGTCTCTAAAAAATAGAATTGCTCTTGGTTCAACGGTTTCAGTTATGATAGGAAACGATTATTGAGCAAATTCTGAGCTAGAATACAAAAGGGTTTTCACTTAAGTACCAGCTGAAGTTATTGTGGTCCTCAGTCACGTTTTCTCGTAAAACCAAAGTAAAAATACATAATACATAATACATTGACAACTGATATAAGAATATTATGTGTTTAGCAAAAATTGATGTTAGTAACCAACCAAACAAATTAAGGAGAGGATTTTATTCTCAGCCAAGACTGAGCCCAGGATCAATGGCCTTGTTTCTATACACTTGTAGCTCTATCAGTAAGAAAGAGTAAAAGCTGTTTCATAAGCGCATATGTACTGCTTTGAGCACAACAAAACAAGGTTTTAAAGGCGGTCTGAGTATTTGATTCTTAATCACCTGCATGAATCTCAGCTAAAACGATTAACCGGTAACAGAATTCCGGCTTTATATCTCTCGCAATAGATAGCAGTATTCCACGACTACGTAGCCATATTTGTTGGCTAATATAGCAAGTCTACAGTGCTGGCTAAAGTACTGGGTTAGTCTAGGATGTTAAAGGGTTTCGTGGGTCTACCGAGCAACTATTTCCAAGAGGTTGAGGGAGAGTTTGTAACTTGCGAATGGTCCGAAGCCAATCCGGATACCGGCAAAACACATATTAGTAGATAGTGTGAAAAAATATTTGAAAACGGACAAAAACAAATCAAAAATGCTACGGGTGGACGAAAATTTTCTTTGAAAACGAAAAATGTATTAATAGTATTAAGATAACGTTTTCAAGTTTCTGTAGCACAAGCTCAAAATCACATCACACCAAACTTTTTGCCTAAATTATTAGAGCGGTCTTCACTGTAATTTCATCTTGAAAACCAACCAATTTTTTTTTTCACCAAAACAACGATTAATTAAGCGGTAAGAGGATAAGAAGTGTTGATATTTCTACAGCTGCACAGTTAAGAAAATACACAGAGGGATCATTGAACTGAGCGATATGAGGATAAAAGAAGTGCTGGTCAATCATTCTTAACAGCTGCGCAGTTATAAGCAAATAAAGACATACAGACCTTTATGATATATGTAAATACATATCTGATAAACTACTGGGCTTGTGTTTAAGTGTTCTTGTTCGTTGTGCCTCAATTTTAACCTTGTTTAATTTAAGGAGTAAAATAACGTTAAAACCAGGGATAACATTTATCCAATACACAAATAAAATGCCCTTAATGTAACAAAAAAGGTTACAACTTAAAAGTTATGTTGAGCGTAGAGCATGTAATATAATTAACATTTTTTTCTTTTTATCAAAGCGATTTGTTGTAACATGGCTTTGGTTACGGAAAGTTTCCAATAGGCTAGGGGAAGGACTCCCGATCCCATATAAAAACTGGGTATTATACTCGCTGTCTGGCTTAGGGGTACATATCATTTTTTTATTGCAGGTTACGGTCTCAATTATATAGTGCTCAGAGAGAGCAATTTTGTTTCCAAGATATTTGTTCGTCATCTACTCACCCGTCATGAAAACGAGGCTGTGGTCAAAGCTGAGCAGACTACAGGCTTCACCATCCTCTATGTTGCGGGGTAACCTGCTTTTAGGACTTCTAATTCGACAAAAAAGATATAAAAAACATTTTGTCTCTTTTGCGTATATTGTAGATTCTTTATATTTTAAATTCTGATCAGTCAGTCAAGAGTAGTCAATCCGTGATGAGAGGCCGAGACGCGACGAACACCCTCTCAAGCCTTCACTCGTAAAGTAATAAAACCTCGAGGAGTAAAAAATTATAAAAGTTCCATTTTATTGCAAACGTCAATAATATCTTCTCGCGAGCACACCAACATCTTTTGATAAGCCGCTGGCTTTGTATTAAGGCGAAAGAGCTTTTCGAAAATTCTGCTTACGAGTTTTGGCTGATTTTCTTTCCTGTCAGTCTCCGAGGGATCAGTATCGTTAGCAAAATTTGAATTCTTCACCTTTTGGTCCGATTTCAACAATCTACAAAAAATTGAAGAAAAATTAAGCTGAAAAGGAGGACAATTGACAATAAAATATCATTTCAGTAAAGTTCATGACACAGAGGAAACCAACGACACTTTGGAATAGGAGTACGGGGTTACTAACTACTCACACAAACCCCCAATTTTCGCTCATATCGGCACAAAGTCCGCTCCTGTTAGGAAAATCTAGCGCATCAATTTTTCACCGTTTAAAGAAGAACCCGCTACAAATTCCGTTCAAATAAGCTGGATAGAAAGGGAAGAAAATTACATCGCCTTAAACGGCAGGCTATATTTTCCGAAGCTCCCCAAACAGAATGGGGCGAACCATTTGATTTTCGATCCCATCGATCGCGCACAATGTTCGGTCAGTCCCCCAGGACGAAATGGTAATTATCCGTTCCGTTTATTTTTAATTTACGATAAGAATAGGCAAACAATATCTTTTATTATGGTGAGGGTCTTTTCGATTATATGTCATGTCTTTTGTTAAATGTGTACAATGCTTTTGGTAAACACACGTAGACACTTACATAAGAGGATTTTATAATTTTGCCTTATGTAGTTTAGAGGTAATTTTTAAGTGAAAACTCGCCTTAAACCAGCAAAATCTCCGTAAATCTTTCCTTAGCCAGGTCCCTTGTTTAAAAACACTGTTTTCTACTCTTATTTTCTCAGTGAGTGAAGTAACTATCAAATAAAAACAAGATTTTCTGGGCAGTAGGACAGTCTATACGTCTTCGTATACAAGTCGTGAGCGGGATGAATTTTTGAACTGAATTTCCTTTTCATCATGAACAACTCTTCAACCATACAGATTCAGAATCCACCGTGTTCGCACACAGTATCCAGTTTATTCATAGCGATCATGACTTCCATCAGCGTTGCTGCTATTATAGGAAACGTTCTGGTTACAGTGGTCTGCTTAAAAACTCCAAGTCTTCGCACAATCACCAACTACTACATAGTCAACATGGCGGTATCTGATCTCCTCTGCGCATGCTTCAACTGGCCGCTATACGCTACTGAGGGGATGCTGACAAGAACAAAATTCATCACGGGATCTTTGGCCTCTGCTGTCTGCAAACTAGGGATGTATTCCAGAGGAGTCTCCCAAGTTGTGTCCGTGCTAAGCTTGGTTCTAATCGCTGTAGACAGATACATTGCCATTGTGTTTCCGTTAAAGTCAGCGTTATTAGTAGGAAAAAACAAACGTGTTATGTTACTCTTTATAACGTGGTTCGTACCAGTCGTTTGCGGTATCCCGTATATTGTATACACTGACACGGTCAAAGTGGAAAACCACACCTTTTGCAGAACTTTGTGGGGTGCATTAGCTAACATGATTTTCAATGTGGCTGGTTTTGTTGTCTTCTACTGTACGCCTCTCATTCTGATGGCTATACTCTACATACACATCGTGAAAACTTTGAGAAAGAGAAAAGAAATGCAAGGCTCGGCGAGCAACAAAAGAGAACAACAGCACCGAAAAATCACAAAAATCCTCATTTCGATCGTCGTGGCCTTTTTCATCTGCTGGACTCCTCTTTGTGTTTATCTCTCTCTTAAAATGTTCCACCCGGATCTGTTTCTAGAAGACGAATGCAAGACGCTCGTAGCTTTGTTCTTTTACGTCTTTCCATCTTTAAGCACAGCAATTAATCCCATCATTCTTTTCTCGTTGAGCACAAATTTTCGTCAAGCATTGGAAAGTTTGGGACTTCAGCTTTGTCGCTTTTTCCAATGTTGTTCAATTTTACCGTCCAGGATCGGATCGTCGAGATCGACACAAATAACTCAAGCGCCAGAAGACACTCTTGATGCAGCAAACACTGAAAATCACCGAGCAAATGGGAAAAGGATTGTTTTGCAAAAATTTCATCGAAGTTCCCGACGGGTTTCTAATCTTGCTTTTGTCAATTCTATGGAAATGTGAGCAAGGATGACTTTAATTATTACAAACAATAAAACCTGAGGAAATTCGCGAGGCAATTCCATTTGGACTTATATTACCCATTACTGAGATTACACCGATTTTTGTGGGAAAATGAAGATTTGGAAATCCCGTTTATGGGAAAAGACAAACTTTTGTGCCACATGACCAAGATTTCCCTTAACTTTTCTTGAACGTAAAAGAGCCAAAACTTTAGCTGATGATCTTAAAAGCCACCACCCTATTGAGACCCTCTTGAGCTATCATTCATGTTTGTATACAAAAATAAATGTAGTTTTATGTCAGCAATCCATTAAAATTATCTTGACTTACTGGACATTCCTTATCTGTTTATTTTCTAATTAAACTTAAGAAATTCTCAACTTGAATCTAATGTTTGCCGTACATCATAAATGTGATTCTAATCTCTCTAATTGCAAAACGGAAGCAAGCAGGAGTAAAAACGACGTTTTGGTGTCATCAAGACGTCATTGTGAAGATGACTATCTTTGGGGAAGATACCACTTTCCGTTACTAAGTAAGTTTAGCAGGCACTGCCGTTATTACAAAATGCCGCAGAACATACACACTCGCCTGGGGCCTGGTTGCCACCTCTTTGTCTATTCGTGGGCTATAGGAAACATGCTTTTCGACTAAACAAAGGTTAATTTTTTGCGTAATAAAGTTGAATTACTCACATTGAAGTTGTCTTTTGTCTTTTCTGGTCAATTCTCCCCATATATTCCTTGTAGAAAAGCCTCTAAGTAAGCTCAGTTTTGATTCAGAAGTCGATCGGCATTCGTGAAGTCTTGGTAATTACCGAGCGTTCTCTTCTCATCCTGAGACGCGGAAACGTTAATCGAAACCCATGTTTCCTACAGCCAATGCTCTATTTGATGAATTGAAGAAGTGAATACTACATTTTGTAAACCTCCACTAAGGTATCTATGGGGCTTTTGACCATTAACATTTCCAGCCGTCATTACGCTGCGAACTGCGCGCACTAAAGAAAACTTAGAAGAAATCCAAATTGGCCCTAGTAGACAGTACAGAGACTAAAACAAATCCATTTGCTCTCCCTTCCCCTCAAACGCCTCTCTGCGTCAGGAAGAGACTGGAGAGGAAAAAAGAAAGGGCGCGGGAGACGACGGAAAGGTGAAAAATCACTGGGGCGACACATACAAACAAAGCAACCCAAATACCCACCCCCAGGGGAAACACATACGGTACTTTCAAAAGCCTCAATGCTACAACGTTGAGTAAATACCATGTTTAATTTGCATCCAAAACGTTACAAACACATTACCGTAAACTGCCGCTTATAAGTCGGCTAGCTTATAAAACCACCAATTATAGGCCCAACTACCATTAAACAACAAGAAAAAAAATACATCTGGGTCCAGTCGTTCGAAGGCCGATTAGCGCTTAAACCGGGATTAAATTTAACCCGGATTTCTTTTCTTGTGTTCAAAAGCATTCTCTCGGATAATTTTCTCTGTTATATTTAGAGCTTCCAATGATCAACTTGTAGCCAAAAAGAATGAAATGCTTTTTAGGCTTTCAAATCTGAATTCAAATCTCGCAATATCCCTGGGTTATCTTAACCCAGCTTTGAACAACTCGGCCCCGATCGTAAGCCCCCTCTAGCGCCTTCCTATTCCGGTTATAAGTCCCCATCCATTGTAAGTCCTCCCAAACTGCAAGACAGCCCGTATTTTTGCGTATTCAAGTACGAACGAACAGTCAAACAAAAGATCTAAATCGAGGCTAAAATTGTTAGAATTGTAAATTCCTATTTTACCCACGAAGCACTTAGGAGTTCATATGAACTCGTTTAAACGTGTCCGTGCGTTCCAGATTGAATTGGAATTTGGAAGTGTTGGTTTTTAAGGAGAGAGGAAAACCGGAGTACCCGGAGAAAAACCTCTTGGAGCAAAGGAGAGAACCAACAACAAACTCAACCCACATATGGCGTCGACGCTGGGATTCGAACCCGGGCCACATTGGTGGGAGGCGACTGCTCTCACCACTGCGCCACCCTCGCAGAGAGCGAGACTGGGGAGAGATGCCTCACACGAAGCTCGCGCGCGTGACTCTTACGCGATTTTTACGCTACGCTAAACCGGTTTTGAGAAAAAAAAACCGACTGTTTTGCAGTCTAAAGCCTCTTAAAACCCCTCAGGAGATGTATAAGCAAGCACACGGTTTATAAGCAGCAGCTTACGGTAGTTAATGAAACAAAGGTAGATGTACTGTTAATCTAGGTACGAATAAAAGGATTGTTAGTGACAAGTATTTTCAACTAAAACTACATGGCGGCAAGCTGACTTCTAATATAAAAATCAGACGAAACAAAAACAACCGATCATGATAAATTTAATGTAACGATACGTAGTTTTATTAAAACTATCTGAAAACAGGCTAGCCTGTGTACAGATGCCCCCTCCCGTCCAAAAGTCTGAGGGGGGCGTCTGTACACAGGCTAAAAACAGGCTTGACGCCAAGCGATGTTGCGATTCTGAATATTATCTTGGGTACGAGTATAATGAAGTGAGTCTAAATATTTTACAAATCTTAACGGAAATTGAATTGTTTTCATTATTGAGGGCTATTTAAGTCGAAGCCTTTGTTCAGCGGTGTACAGATATCTCAACTTAAAAGGCAAAGATAAGCGCAAAAAGAAAAAAAACTTGCAGTGCACCTATATTAATAGACTAGTCTATTTACTCGAAAGAGCGCGGTCCTCAACGAATAATAGGGACCTTAAGATCCGACGACGGCGACGGCAAGGGGAACGCCATAAAAGCAATTGGTTTAATTAGCAAAACAACAATTTTGCGCGTGCATCACGCTTTTTTGTACGTTCCTTTGTCGTCACTGCACGACTACGACGTGAAAATGTCTAATTTCACGATGTACAGAGGAGGTACACAAGCGACGACGAAATTTCCTCTCTCTTTCTGAACTTGGATATGGTTCTTAGGAATTCAACTTTAGAAGGGTTCGCCTAAATTTGACAAAGTTAGTGACTTGGAGTAAACGCGATGAAGATTGAAAGAACGCGAATTTACTTTTTCAGCGACATTTTCTCTGCCGTCTCCGTCTTCGGATCTTAAGGGCCCTCGCCCAGCAGCTGATTTCTGACTTGGTTAACCTTTAAAGCTCCAGTATCCACATACAAATTCTCCTAACTAATCGCCATACATTTCCTTGAAGAATTAGTTGAGAGAATTTGATCCAAGATCAAGGCATTTTCCCTATGATCATTTTCTCAACTCTTGTAACCTTTTCTCTGAGTACGGATATTTTTAGGAAAGTGATTTTGGTTTCTCTTGGGACTAAAATCAGGTTAATGAGAAAATGCTTACACGATTGATATTTATTATTGCACCTAACATCGTTACTGTACAACTGAATCTAGATCTGGAACCTTCAAAACGTAAACCTTCTTTACGTTCATCTTTTCCTATTGTCATCTCCCTTGAACAAAATAAAGAATGTTTACGTAGTACTTTCTTATTCGCAAACAGCAAGTTTTAGATAGACGCCGTCCTTAAAGGCAAAACACGCCTAACTGACAAGTCAGACATTTTTACAAGCGTCGCAGTTCTCTTTCGAGTAAAAAAAAGATATAAATCAACTCTTACATTCTACGTGACAGAAGGTGTTTTTTTGGGGGGGGGAGAGGGGCGGGAGAGCACCAACTCTACAAAAAGTTGACCTCTAATACGACTTCAATTTTGCAACTTCAAACGTCATTTTATCACTCCCCTTTGAATTAGCTGCGTTGCACACAAAGTTGACTCTTGAAGGCTGAGGAAATGATAAAATTTTCAATACACTCCCTTTATGATTCGGGGAAGAAATGATTTCAAATTTATCATCTGTTTTACTGATGTTCCTAGGAGGGAGATTTATATAATCATATCCAGGTACATGTATGATCTGTTGCCGCTGCCAGGTAAACGTAACGTCTGGGGTGGCGCCCTGTTGCAGAACACATGGGATACTCAACTGTTGTTTCCTGCCAGGTAACCACGTGTACACTGTCTGAACTGATTTCTTTAAAACAGGTTTCACTGAAATCAGAACAGTGACCATCAGTATTTAAAAGAGCTGTGACGTCACGGCTGTCTAGTTTATTTTGTTTATAATTCCATTACACGTAGCCTGAATTTCAGACGATTACTTCGAGTCGTTTTCTCGAAGTAATTTAGTGAAATTCAGGCCAATTTACGCGTCCTTATTCGCCAAGACACTCGAGAAATTACCTGTGAATGACTGAATGGCATCTTTTGTGCCGAACAAAATACGTCAGAGCAATTAAGGTTTCTGGGAAACTGCTCTCCTACCCCTCCCCTAACCCAACGTTAACATTTGCTTCTCACTTGGTTCAAAATGTTGGGTTAGGGGTGGGGTAGGTGGGCAGTTTTGCATTAAGCTAAATTGATCCAACATGTCTCCCAAGCATTATAACACTCTTTACACAACAAACCTCTTATCACTTTAATTACTTCTTTTAGTCTAAAAATGAGCATAGTAACATAGAGCGAAACGAGAATATTTTTTTTACAATATATTGTGCACTTTGTTTTCCTATATTGTCTTAATTTTGCTAAAACATCAACCGACTCTTCCGCCATATTGATTTTGAGTCGTCAATCTCATTGATAATTCATAAAGAAAATACAAAGAAAATTAATGTTTAATGAGTGTTGGAAATCAGGCGAAAAACTACTCATTTTTGCATCCTTAATTTCTTCTAAAATCACTTTGTTTAAGAAGTAATATCAAGCATTCGACACAGTGTTTCATCAACAGATGAAATACCTCGAACTTCGTCAAAAATACTCCACTGCGTGTCGTATTTTCAACTCTCTTCTCAGTGTTTCATCAACAGATAAAACACTACGTCCCATGCTTGATATATTACTTCATGTCTTGTTGCTCCCAGGCTCTACAGCAATGATATGGGGGTACCAAGCCACCTATTCCGACAATCCATGTGATTTTTTTTGTTCTTAATCCGGCCGACTGACCCAAAATCAGGAAAAGCATTCAACGGTAGATGAAAACATAAGGGGATGGCCCAAGGAAATAAAAAGTGCCAATCTGAGACTTCAGTCACAGCTGATGGGCAACACTTGTACAGTGTACACTGATGGACTGATGACCTCTGATCTCACCCCTCTGGTTTCTCAGAGGGTGATTGGCTGTGAGGGATCAGAGGGCAAAGGGTTCCCCCTTTGAAAACTGGGTCACAGAACACAATCAAAACCTACCTGGTATAATAACATCAAAGTCTCTTCTGTCTGTTCCCAAAGCGTTTCTTGCTACACAGCTAAATTTTCCATTATCGTCAGGATAGCGTGGCTGCACTATTTTCAGGCCATAGGACGTCAAAAGGTACCTCTTAGTTTTGGCACATTCTTCATGTATTTCACAATTTTCTATGACTTTCCCATCTTTTTGCCATGTGAATGTGGGATAAGGAAAGCCACTGGCGACACATCTGATTCTCAATTCCTGGACTGAATTGTTTACCCATATCGGAGAAGGGGAGCTGGTAATTATCTTCACGTCCTCTGGAGCTGGAATGAAATCGCATACACCTTCACTTTTCAAAACTATTTAACAATGTCACCATTAAACTTGTTGACTTTCTCATTTTAGACATGATTTTGTATTAAAAAAAGAAAAGAAGCATTGGCATCATACAATTGTCAGGAGTAATGAATGATTATAAACTTTAGTCATGGTACAGTAAGTATAAAGGGAATCCATTGTAGATTAAAGTTGTACATTGTAGACGTAGATAATATTAAAACTGTCAATATTAATATTAACAATTTTAAAGTTAAAAAGTTATTCTGATTTTTAAAACTCCGTGCTTTTTTTAATCATTGTAGATTGGATTCCCTTTTTTACCAATGTATGTATTCACTTCCGTTTTTAACATCTCTCAATTTTTTAAATCTCTAGAATTTTCAAGAACCTTTTATTATAATCACTATTTGTAAATAAGCTTTTTATCAAGATTGTTGTAATTTTATTGTTACCAATTTTGTTTTTAGAGGGCCACTAGGGAGGGAGAATAGTAGAATTTTTAAGATCTTTTATTACAATAATTACTATTTGTATTAGGCTTTTTATCATGACTGTTGTAAGTTATTATTATCAATTTTGTTTTTAGAGGGCCAGTAGGGAGAATACTTTTCATAATAATTGGTGTCACCCTCTTAAAATAAAGGTTATTATTATTATAATTATTATTATTATTATTATTATTGGCCAGGGCCTATGATATTAGGTGACGCTGCAATAATGGACCCTTCTACAATTCTTTTAACATTTGACTCTTATAAATACCTCCAGTAAGGGAATATCAATAGACACTGATGGAGAGACCACCTTGAAATTAGGAAATTTACCAAATTTGAAGGTGATAACTTAAAAGTGAGCAAAGATATTGCTCCATAAAGTCACAAAATTTTACAGACATTTTTACGGTGAGTGGGTCGAGCCTCCATTTGCAACCACCCACATGTATCCAAAACACCAAAATTTTCCCAGTCAATGCCCCATGTAACTTGGAAAAATTAGGTGCTCAACTGCTTTTTCAGACAACCAGAAGATGGTATCAATTATTATATAAACACCAACGAAATACCAGGTGAGCTTTCGCGCGAAAACTTGATATTTTCACATGTGACAATATCACCTTTGCTATGGCTACATAATAAATCGCACCTTTCACACCAAAAAACTATTAAAGTGAAATGGTTTGGTATTTCATTGGTGTTTATATCATAAATAGAACATTACATGGCCACTTGGAGATATGAAATTTCTCTTCTCGTGTTGAAAAAATATTTCACTCGGTCGCTGCGCTCACTCATGAAATATTTTTCAACACTCGAAGAGAAATTTCGTATCTCCGCACAGCCAAGTAATATCCTCTATTAAGCCATTAATTATAAGAAAATTATCATAAATATCAGTATTAATATTAATATAATATTATTATTACTATTATTATCCTTTTACATGAATGACCTTAAATTACTGCATTAAAAATGACATTTACCAGAGACTGTCACTTCAACTTCATCTTCTGCCAACAAATCCTGATGATAAGAAAGCTCGCACTTGTATCTCCCAGAATGAGCAAAAGCAGCCTTTTCAATCTCCAGTTCCGTTTCCCACACTCCATTATTGTTCCACGGTGATGTTACTCTAACGTCATTCATAAGCCCATTGACTTTGGACCACTGCAAATTGTCACAAACTGTAGCATTATGTGCCTTGCATGTGTAGATGACTTTTGATCCCTTGGGTACACGCTTGCTCATATAAGGAACAATGGAAAGATTTGGAATACCTGTGACAAAAGCAAGACCAAACATTCAATAAGTTATATTCATAACAAGCACTGTCCATACAATGACTTTGCAAAGGTCATTTTTTAACACTGTTGCTTCTTTTATACATAACCAAATAAAGAAATGAAAAAAAATTGGGGTATCACCATACTGTACTGAAGAAAAAGCATATTGAAGAACTTCCTTACAACACATAAGGCACTAACCGTTGTAAATATTAGGTAAATTGGGCTGTTATTCCCAGCTGAGCCAGGCAAGAAGAATGGTTGAGCCGATTCAAATTTAGTTACAGGGGTGGATCTAGGGGGAGGGTGCAGGGGGTGCACACCCCCCCCCCCTGAGATGACCTGCGGTTTTCTAATACAACTGTCTAGTATTCTGCAGAAAAAACTATGTGCTTTATTGGTGTTGAAGTAGAGCAAGAGACGAGTGTACCCCCTCCTAAAAAAAATCCTGGATCCGCCCCTGAATTAGCTTTTTCAAACTGATTCAGAAGTTGTGCTTCATGAGGATTCAGCTTACGTGAACTAAGTATAGCATCTGAACCAAGTAAATTCCCAGAGTGCAAGCAGATGATAAACGAGGCATGGGTTGTAAGTAATCACTTGTTTATATTTCATTGGGGTCACGAATGGGTAAGTGATGAATCCACAAGATATTTTTGTGTTATGCTACTCTACTATGTCAACAAAGTTTCTGTCAATTCGCAAAAGGAGGTGCAAAAGTATTGACACATGGATATGTTGGGCTCAATAATGTTTTTTTTGGACTTAAAGGTATAAAAAAACATTGGACATGACAGTACTCTACGTGCTGGCGCATGGCATAGTAGGCAATTGCCAGTACAACAGTCAAATAATTTTACAGTTGAATGGTTAGCTAAGGGTTAGCTTCAAAGAGTGATACACATTTTGAATTTACATGGTTTCAGACTTTTCTTTCGCCTTGACGGACAAATGTGACTCATGGTCAAATTATCAGCTGAATTATTAACCTAAACGGGACGAGATGTTGACACAATGATCAAATTTAACGCCTCAATGGGCAAAAAACACTGATTAATGATTAATTGCATGTGGTACAGAAGTCACTTTAGGTGCCAAGCTGGTTTGCTTCACACATTTCGTCTCTTTTGTCCCAAGACCAGCAAGCTAGAGTCAGCAGTTTTCTCCCAACAGAAAAATTTTTGCCTGGTACACCACCACAGTCTTCTGCTGAATGCACAGAGAAAAAACCATCTCTATGAAAGAGGATTTGTTCTCACAACTTGCAGAGCGATCATCAAGGGCCTTGCCAGTTTATTTGTTTACTGATCATGCACAAAGGATGGAACAAAATCATGGAGCTTGAAGGCAGGATTGTTTCTCAGTATAATAGTTTGGTAATTCACAAATTTATTCATTTTATGTTGCTTTTCAGACATAATATGTGTTTTGCTTTTTCCTTTTAACAATATTCATCCACAGAGTTTGGAATATGCAACATGTAGCTGCATATACAAAAGCTGAAAGAACTGCCAAGAGTTAAGATATCAAGTAGTGTTTTGGTGCAAAACTAAGGAAAGTTAAGGTTGCTTCAAAGATACAGAGCTTTCAGCAATAGTTGTAATTTATTAGGGTTGTTTGAATTTTAACTTTGAATTTCAGGTGTTGACTGATCATAATAAAAGAAGTGAAATGTCATCAGTGTTATGAAGTGTGAATCTGTTTATTGAGGTACACAAGCTCATGTTTATAAAACTCTCTTGGACAGACTTAATTCTGATAAATTTGACACTAATTCTCCAGTAATTTTTGTCAGTATCATAACTTCTATAATCTTCTCCTCACCCGGCAAAATACCTAAAAAAATCGATCAATAGTCCAGCCCACATTGTTGTCAGTTAAGAATTTACATGGTTGCAGTGAGTGACGCTTGCATTTTGCAATTTCAATACCAAAGGACAAATACGATGTGCGACAAAAACGAAGAGTCACGAAATTATTTTTTCAATCATTGAATAATAATTACTACTTTCTCTGCTGGTTCACTTCTTGTCTCTGAAATATTTACTTTGGGAAAAATACTGCAATTATCTGCTGACCACCATGCTCTCGTATTCTCTTGATCTCATCCAAGTGCGTTTTACGTGATGTCATTGCACAGGAGTGAATACCCCGGATAATAAGAACACCAAACGACTGCACATGCTCCTAATCTTACACCCGACAAATTTTGGCTTTTTCCTGCTATTGTAGAGAATAGTGTGCTGGCTCACATAATGCTCACCAGCAAATAAATTGGTGGCTACTGTTACAATTATTTTAGTTACAAAAATGTTTTTCTATTTGCCATGGCAACCAAAATGTCTGAAAAATCAGAAATTGCTACATGACATGGTGGGACAATGGATCATTATCATTAGTGCATAAGGAGATGACAAAAACAGGAAGCATGAATGCCATTAACCCTTAAGCCCCAGTATCAACGTACAAATTCTCCAAACTGATCTCCATGTATTTCCTTAAAGAAGTAGTTGAGAGAATCTGATAATAGATCAAAGCATTTTCTCTTGGGTGATCATTTTATTTATTCTCATAACGTATCTCTTGACAGTCTATGGATATTGTTAGGAGAAAATTGATCTTGGTCACCACTGGGACTTAAAGGGTTAAGATTAAATTTTATATCACTGAACCTACGATATAGACATGCAATATTACAGTATGTAACTGTGAAATATTCCACACGTACCTGCCACGTAGAGATAGATTTCTCTTTTAATCACTTTCCCATTCTTTTCTGCAACACAATAGTATTTTCCTCCGTCGTGTAAAATTGCTTTTTGTATAGTGAAGATTGCTCCATTTCTTTTTAACCTTCCTTGCAAGCTTGGTAAATTGTGTGATGGCAAGTGTTTAGGAAGAGAGAGAGAAACATTTGCACTTGGATCATTAGTCTTGCAGTTGATTGCAACACTGTAACTAACATGGACACAAAGTACTTCAATTTTTGCAGTGACTTCAAAGGAAAATTTTGCTGGAACTGGAGTGCTCTGAATACCTCCTGAAGTGGAAAAAAAAAACAATCGGTGAACACACTCTTTGTATGTAGATGAAATATTTTGCTATAACAACAACTGCCACACAAACAAAAGGTGGTCAGAAATGCCTGCAGTACAATCCTCCTGCATTTATTATGCATGCCTCAATTTCATATCATTTCACACATATAGTTAAAATGAATACAGTCAAAATATGTAAATAATACATGTGTGGGGTTGTACAGAAATCTTACCCCAGTCAATAGACAGATGTCAAACATTAACAATTTTGATGATCAATTTTGATCGAACTGTGACATGTGCTGCAAACCTTCACCCACCCCCACCCCTCCCCGCTTCCCTCCACGTGGACTAGGCATCAGACAATGAAATGTTTAAGGACGGGAAGTAGGAGACCCCCCACTGGGCATAAGACAATGAAGTGTTAAGGGAAGGGAACTAGGGACTCCCCGCCCCCCACTGGGCATCGGACAATGAATTGTTTAAGGAAGGACCAAAGTAGAAAAAGAGTGAAAAATTGATACCAAAAGATTTCAAAAAAAAGTTATCGATTTAACATTGGCGACTCCCAACAAAACCGTTCGATTTTGTACTCTGCTACTGGATGAATCATAAATCATAAAAAAAGCGCACATGCAACACTTCTTAACTTATTTCTCCTGAGTACAAAAGTATACCGGTAACAATGCTTTTTTATTAAAGAATACGATAGAATAAATTGATAGTGCACCATAGCTATTGCAAGTCTTACCAGCTAAAATGAGCAATGCGGTAGCATACAGGAACATCATCCTTACGTCCATTCGTCTCTTTTGTCCACTTGCTGTCGGTCTAGATTTACACCTAGATATCAATAAGATTGACAAATTAGTCAGTTGACAAGTAAATCTTTTCCTTTTACTTTACAATATAATAACGAAGTGCATGATTCCAAAAATACCCGTTAATGTTGTGAAATATGAACCACTACGAGTTCGCCATCTTGACAACGGCACAAGTGCAAGTGAACGATCCGATTTGGTTGCGACGCTACTATTAACGGCGTCAAAAGCTGACTTTGAAAGTCCTAGACAATATAACTTCATTTCAATTTGTTGTGGCTTAGGTGACCGGTAAACAAAGCATTTTCAAATGACCACAAATTGCAAATATAGCGATTCAAATAAACCGCTATTGCAACAACTCGAGCATAAACTACTTCACCGCTTCCCATCATGCAATGTTAACTCAATCAAATAGAACTGTGTTATGATTTATTTTTACAGCACAAGCTCATAATGAACTTCTGTACGAACGAAGTTCTAGGCATATCGATAGGCCACTTATGACAAAACAATATGTGGAAATGAACCTTAATATACATCTAACAACAAAAGATCGCGTATTTTGCCAGTCCCCTCAGGACTTGACCCTTAGTTGAATCATCTCTACAAATTAAGAATCAACCATCAAAACAGCAAATATTCTCTTCGAACTTTTTTTTTTCATTAAGTCAATAAGTTATGGTGAAAAGTTTTTAATCGGCTTCTTTTAATATTTATTCGCTCCAATAATCGTGTATTACCTTACCTTACCGTGTTTCAATACATTTAACGTCGTATTCTAAATAATTCTTTACGATACAAAAGACAGTGATCTTGCCTGTTTTTAAAATCTACCTAGGGCTAGCTCTATTTGGAGGAAAAAAGTTCGCGGAAAATATTTTAAGATACAAGGAGAATCACAATGTTGTAGAACAGCAATGCCCCTTACGGCATCTTGCTACGGTATATTTTCTAAAATATCGTGCATGCAGTTAAACATGTGACAGCACTGAGAAGTGCAAAGCTTTTGAAAGCTTTAAGTAGTCGACCTGACCTTCATGATCCAGAAAAAAGTAAGCGGTGACTATGGCGGCGAGTCGAAGCACATGGCAAGCTCGGCTTTAGGAAGAATCGCTGTAAAAGTAAATGGTGATGAATGTGCAAACAAAAAACAACCTCTTACTTGTGACTTATTCTACACTCCAATCGATTGCAACAGTCTCTGATTATGCGTTTTTCCAGTTTAATCCGTCCTATACGGATCTTCCTCGGTTGCACTCTAAGTATAGTTTGGGTTTTCTAGATTGCTAAAATGCTCTATTCTCTGGTTCTGTTCTGCGTGGTGAAACGTGAATCTTGTGAAGAAATCACCCCCGTTGTCATTCCTTTTGCCTAACGAATTCAGGAAATGTCATCACAGGATTTGTCTGCCAATGACGAATGAGTATATCGTGTTCGGAATAATAATTAGCCAACCACACCTACTCGATCCCTCGCGGAAAACCGGAGAATTTTCTGCCAAATTCGTGCCATGTCATACCACGAACTTTCCTATCATTCTTTGAAGGGCTTATAAAGCACCGATACCGCCTCCGAATAGTAATTCAGCCATTAAGGTAAACACAAGTAACTTTTGCATTTCGATATTGAAAACGCAACACACTACACACAAGAAATTATGCTACGAAAAACTAAAATTTTAATACTTTACCGCATTTCCGGCATAGCATTGAAACGCGCGTAATCTCTGAATTCCCGGGAGTATTAAGTTAATATGCGAACTGTAAACAATTCAATCATGTTGGCAGACAGGCTATCTGGGGTTTTAAAATAGATTTGTATCTTAAATGCGTACTTTCACATTGGTATGCAAAGGAATACATGAATAACAACTTATTTTATGTAATATTTGTTGGCACGACTAAGCAAACACGATCAAACAGAACTTTATGAGAGCTATTTAAAAAAATAACAAGCACAACCAGAATGGAAGTCTGACCCTATGTTTTCGTTGTGTTGCTGTCCTTTTAATAGAGGGCGTACAACTTATCGGATTTAAGACATTCTCAAGCAACAAAAACTGCGAAAAGAAAATTGTTTTAATCTTATTTATGTTATTGTAAGCAGGATTATTTAAACTCGATTGATTCATGAGGGCATACAACATTCTGGCTTTTTCCTGAATCAAAAGCCTTTAGGTAGGCTTCGCTCAAAACAATACTTTCATAAAGAGAGTTTAACCTTGCATTTTTAAAACATCAGAGATAACCTTTGAAGTTGAACTCAGACAAGTGTCTTGTAGTCTGAAATATCAGAAAAAGGCGTTTATCATGCAATGAAAAACGGCCTAAACTCCTTAAGGTAATGTTACACGAGACGATTCGCAACGACGATTTTTAGCGCAACACAGCGTTGCAACATTGTTGCGACATTGTTTCGAATACTCACAACATTGTTCCAACATTGCAACGCTGCGTTGCGCTGAAAATCGTCGTTGCGAATATAATTAATCGTCCCGTGTAAAATCACCTTCAAAGAACGAAGACGAAGAAGAAAAGCACTTGTCCAATATTTGCGATACAGTGCACGCTTATGCTTAAAAGGAAGGAAAGACAAAAATTCAAAGATAAACTATGGCGAAAACTAAAAGTAGGTAGCAATATATATGAAGCCGAGTTTTACTGTCCGTTACATTTTGCATTTCCAGCGTTGTTTTGACTGCTAGGCATAAAACGGAAACAACCATGGAGGCTATTGCAGGTACTTTAAAATATTAGACCTTAATTCTTGAATTAATTTCAGGTTCACGTGTCAAAAACCAAACCGGAAAGGGTGTGCAGCATTCCCTCCCACCATCGCGTACTGCCGGCCGCAGGAAGTGTATGCTGTTACAAATTACGAAACCCTACATAAAAAACACACATGCGTGGGGTAGAGAGAATGTTTTCTACTTCTACTGTACTTTGCGGGATTTCATTTGTTCATACCAACATGCGTTATTGATCAAGCCGGCGAAAGGTCAAGATTGCTGGTTATGAAATCGGCCACACAAGTCTCTTAAATTCTTTTGCGTTCCGTATCATAGACGTGGGCCGAGACTGAGTCCGCGAAGACGCAAAAAATTATGATAGTGTAATAATACTGAATGATAATTGTTGTCATTGTTATTATTATTGTTGTTGTCATTATTATTATTATTATTATTATCATTATTATTATTCCTTCTATCAGAGGGTACACCTGCACGCCTGCTGAGCGTGGCTCGTTAGCATTATTTCCTGTAAGGGTGTGTGGTCTTAGGACCATAGGCCTATGTCATATTGCAGCCTCGGAATACGAAGCTTCAACTGCGATAACTGAACCAGTAGTCGAACAGATAGTGGCGCAGACGCACGAGCTCCTGGACGATCGTGCAATTAGAACACAGCAACAGCGCAATGTAACCGCAGTGAGAAGAATGCGCGCCTTAGAGACAACCATGCCCTTCCTGAACAAACTAAGAGAGAGAGCCGCCGACCTTGCTGCAGAGAAAGGAGCTGGCTTGGGTCATTCCAGTTACTGATGTGGACTTTACTCTAAATAAGGGAAAATTCAAAGACGCCATTCCTTTGAGATAAGACTGGCAAATAAGCGACACCCCGTCTACTTGTACGTGTGGAGATGTTTTCGATGAAGATCACGCCATGGTGTGCAGACGATGAGGCTTCGTCATTATGACATAACGAGCTACGTGATTTGGAAGCCGAAATGCTAAAGATCATGGTTTGCAATATCTTCCAAATTGAGCCGGATAAACGGAGAAGTGCTGACACTTACGAACAGAGCAGCGGATGCCCGGCTCGACATTCACGCTCGTGGCTTTTGGGAGCGGCAAGGATCTGCCCCGGGGAGGGGGGTACTTTAGGAATTTCTGGGTGGGGATGTGCCGCTGTGACCCTGGAACCCTTAACCTATACCAGAGCTAGTTCAGCTGAATTTTGCTACCCTATACGAGAGTAAACTCCCCAAGTCCCCCCTATCCTAGAGTAGCTGTCTTCCAGAAACTACTGAGGTCACTAGCACAGTCTAACCAAAACAAAACCTTATAACACAATCCCTAGTCTAGACAAAATCTTCAACCAACTGATCAGTTTCCTTAAAAATGATACCCTATTCTAGACCCAAACATCTCTGATTTATATATGCCCTATTCTAGAGTAAACTGCTTGAAAACCATACCTTTCACAGCGGCACATACCTATATAGCCCACATATGGCAGTACCCCCACGGTGGATCTGCCTTTTTTAATTTGACTTTAGGGTTTGTTATCCGAATGCAGAGTCTTATAAAGGCCTCACCACAAAACAAATCTACTGCCAGCATGAGAGCGAGAAGAAGAGAACTGTAGGCCAGCAGGGTGCTAGAAGTCGAACCGAGGTTCCTCTACCCCACTGGTATTTACTACCACCGCAGGAAGGGCTGATGATTGCAAGAGGTATCACAGTCGACTGGCTGAACTTTTATCAACCAAGAAAGGAGAGGATTATAGTATTACAATGTCATGGATTTGCGCCAAAGCTCATTCGCCCTCTTGAGGTCTGCGCTTTTGTGCTTGAAAGGCTCACGTTCTACGCGAAGAGCTCCGCTGAACATAACAGATAACGACTTTGAAATCGATAAGAAACTAGCGAGATTTTAGTATTAATACCTTTAAAATTTATAACATTTAGGATTAGTTTTTTTTCTTAATTCTTCTCCTATGGTAATTAAGAATAAATCCAAGAAACATTCGGAAAACTGTAAAATAATATACATATACAAAGACTCAGTTTTTTAAATGTAACTCCTATTGTAAATATAGATTGTTTATATTTTTTGTCTTTCTCTTCCATTTACTAGCTTTTTCATCATTTAACCTAGCGTTCTTCTTATCGACTTTGTAACATTACGTATTAGTTTTTATCTCGATCAAAAGCTTTCTTTCACCACGGTGAAAAACTCCAAGGAGTTCGTACCACCATCACTAAGAGTAGGACGTTTTTTAAAGTAGCAAGCGGAACAGGCGTCTTTTGTTCGCTTTTTCGGGCAGATCCCTGAAACACCTTTTTTCCCTCGAAAAGTTTACTAATAAATTTGAAGCATGCGCAGTTACAGTGCCAGTTTCAATTTATGGGTGCCTGAAAATGTGCGGCCCGCTAAAAATTCATTGAGATCTGTATACTGTCCGTGTATCAAATTCCAATTAACATCACTCTAGTAGGGCAAACAAGTCTATCATTTCCAATCCACTTGTTTACACACTAAGCTGCAAATTCAACACATCTGTTTAAATATAGGAAAAAAATTAGTAGGGATATTTGGTTTGAGTTAATATGCCTTCCATCTGAGTTAAAAAGTTTCTTTCACAGATTGATGGTCACGTTTTTGGAGGCTTACTTCATGATCGACGGCTGAAGTTTCTACTGCTAAGGACATATACAAGCCGTATCTGATCTTGTCGCTCTTTTAAAAACAGCAAATAGTGGTTTCTAAGTAATGTCTCGGTTAAATTATCATGTTTTTTACTGTTCAATCCTGACTCACGCGCAAAAACCTAGAGGCGTCTAATAAATTTTTAAAAGGAACTTTCAGTGCTTCTAAACTGCTATATAAGTGTGAATACAGTTGTTTGCAACCGTTTCTTTTGGGCTCGCATGTTTTTGATATTTCACAATTCATGAATTAAAGCCAATATTTGTCTTAAGCTAAAGTTTTGCGCCAGCACTGAATTCAATGAGATGACCATAGCCCTTGTGAATAGTGGATAGCATTTCTGATCTTTTTATTGGACTAGTGATGTGCCATTACAATACTGAAACTGACTTATTAAATAAACCCATTTACTAAATCGCCTCGGATAAAAGCAAATCTTTAATATTAAGTCATGTTTTTGTAAAATCCGGTACGCAAGGAGAAAAAGGTCTCAACTTTTTTAACTAAACGTTTACTTACGGTAGGGTGGTGTTTGGGCTCCGCTGTATACGTTTCACCTCCAAATGATTTCCAACCTCAAGTTTGATTCGATTTGCAACATTCTTATATACCGCTTGGCTTCCTTATTTACACATCGTAAAATGTCAATATATGAACAATGTTCCCTCGGTAACCAATGGAATTTTTCTGAAAAACTTACTGTAACGTATGCATTTAAACAGAGAGTGCTTTCTCATGCGTAAGTACAAACTAAGAAAGGAAATCTATCAAGTAAGCCAAGGTGGTGTCTGCTAAATCGCATTTGTTATTTGCTTCATGGGAGTAAACTCTGATATTAAAGCTAGGAAAATAAACGAAGTTTCTAAACAGAGGAAATTACCCTAATTCAACATGTTTGCTTCCAGTAACAAACGAAATTTCTCACTAATGCTGTCTTAAAAGTAGTAGTATGTTTAAATGTCAAATCCTGTGAAAATAAACGTCAAATAGGTGAAGATGAGAAGTCACCAAAAACAAATATACTTTGAAAAAGCTTAGATTTTTAACATGAAAGCTTGGATGTGTAATACAAAGGTCACGTACAAGATAAAAAAATAGAGTTTAATACGGAATTGAGAAATTGGAGATCACAGTATGATCCTCCTTATCTACCCCACACCAAGGTTGTTCAGTCGAAAATTTGCCAGTGAATTTCCTAATTTCACGACATGAAGATGATTTAATGTCATCCTTTTTCCCGAGTGGCTCGTATACTATGGCCTCTCTGTGAATCAAACTGGATTTGCATAATCTAGTTACACAGGTTTACACTGATATTGTAAAAGCGACCGTGGGGAATCTACGAAAGAAATGAAATGAGATTGCCAGTTCCGGGCGTTTTAACTTCGAATCATTTCCTTTCATTGCCAGGCAAGAGTGTGTCAAATCAAAAAAAAAGAAGAAAAAAAAAAGAAAAAATAAGAGCCAGTTTGAGCAGATTCTTTTGCTACAGTACGATGAAAAAGCAAACAATACTATGTTAGGGGTGGATGACGTGTCCTCAGGGTGTCCTGTTACCAACAGGCCGGTTATCAGATTGGCTCGAGCAGGGACTAATGTATCTAGAGTGGATTTCTTTCTCCTTTTCATTTTTATGCCACGAATTAAGTTTGTCGTTATAAAGATTGCCCTCTTTCATCTTAACAACACGTTGTCATCATATGCGCTTCGGTGAATCTTCTTTTTCACTTCCTTTCTCTGTATAACCAGCAGCAGGGCACCGGATTTCGTTGTTTTTGTAGTTAGGGCGGGGCGGGGGTTCGAAGCGCAAGCATTGGAATAAAGGCTGCAGAAGCCATTGTTGGTTCGCTTTTGTGTTGTGGTGTGAGTATTGTTCAGCGTCTTTTCAATCTTTTGTATTGCGTCATTTGGTTATTGCACCTGTCCGCAACAGCACAGCAATCAACCTCGTCCCCAGGGCTTTTCCCTTAAAAAATGGGTGGTTAACGGAGAAGCCCTGGGGACGAGGTTGCATAGGAATGGAAATAGAGGAGCGGTTTGGCCATGTGCCATTGCACTTTCCACTCTCCCCAGTCTTCCTCGCGTAAACGCCTACACTGCTAACGAAGAGGTGGAAATTTTGCTTTTTATCACAAGAAACGTCACATGGGCGTAGTATAGTGAGAAAAGAAGTTTAATGTTCTTTTTTTCAACTTCCTACAAGATATATTAATTATTAAAATGTATGACTGTTTTTCTTATTATACCATATTTTAAAAAAAATAAGTTTCCCTTTTTTACTTGTCTACCGGACAAAAAACCAAAACAGGCTGCTCACGCTCGCAAATAACATTGTCTTTTACAATCATGAGATATCCCAAAACATGGGACGAGATTATAGGCAAGTAATCGCTAAGTAACACCTGACGAAAACCGACACCATCGTTGCATGACTTTAAACATTTTAAGACACTTTACCCTTTATTTTAGAAATCTACCATGATTAAACGAGGTTCCGATTAACAAATACTTAGTATAGGGTTTCTTTTCACTCATGGCACTCAAGACAATAAAATAAATCTTTACTCAAAAATAACAACTGGTATAAATAAAATTAATAAGCACGCGGGATTGATGATCGTTTCACCAATGTAACATAACCCATATCATCCAACTAATTTCCATTTTTGGTTGGAAAGATTTTCTCCGTCCTCTCTAGCCCGCATGGCAGGAGCACGCGCGAGATGAATAATGCGCGCGAGAAGGGAGGAGGACACGCGCAAGGAAAGAGGCTAAGGTCAGTCCACTGTTGATGACCACATTTCCTCAGGTTGCAAGTGGAATAAGTTTCGGAAAACTAAAACAAACTGCAATAATGTGTATGGCGTTGCTTTATGCGGCTTTTTAATAGCACGAGAATGCATAACGAACTTCACTTACTTAAAGCAAAAGAACGGATTGAAACGCTCTAACCTCGGACAAAAAAGAGGAGAGAAAAACCGTTTGCTACTCAATAGATGCTACTGAATTAAGCTGTAACAGGAGTTGCTGACATTCCTGCAGCGCTCTCTTGTCACCGATTTTTTCTAGGGAAGTTGCAGCTTCGACGAGCATCTTTTTCCTCTGGCATGGACCGGATAAGAATGGCAGTGGAAGATGTCGGCAAGCCATCATTAGGGCCGCTGCCTTCTCTCGCTCTCCTGTTACCCCAGTGCGTTCTTCTTCATAGTCTGTAAATGGATGAAACGAAGTTTATTTAGATCCATTAAACTATTACAAGAAAAAAGTTTAAAAGCTGAAACTCTTAGTAGAATGACGACGGCTATCACGTTTTCTCGCCAAAATGACGCTGGTTCATGCGCGCGCACTACTTAGAATTGAGAAATCTCATACTCGTAGTCGTCTTCGTCCTTGAATCTAAGGCCAGTCTCTAATGACGTAGTGACACAAGGGGCGAAAACAAAATCTCTATGAAAGTGTGTCTATTTTGAAATGAAAGAGAAAATAGACATGGTATTTATTAGTGCTAGTGTACCTGCGTCTCCATGGTGATGTCCCTCATGGTGACAGGAGGTAACCACTCGCTGTCTTAGTGTACTCCTCTGTAGCAAATGATGTGTCTCTGTAGGGTTAGCTCCTGCCATTAGACGTGTTACAGCCTCGTACAAATAAAGCTAAAAAAAATACAAAGAAGAAAATTTTAGCTTTAATTGGATTCGGCACAAGTGCAGTTCGACGTTTGAAACGGCCTAACTGGTTTATTTTAAGCAAATACATGTCATGTGTTTTTGGCACCGTTCACAGTAACAAAAAAAACTTTTAGACATATAGGCCTTATGAGGTTTTTAGCTTACATAACAGCCTTGTTAGCTCAGTTAAGGCAAGATTCTGCGCCTTACCCTTGGAAGTGCCGCGGGGACATTATGAGTGAGTTTCTGCAAGCTATCAAGATCACTCTGAAATGACCGTAGTTCCACAGGATCGACTGACTGGTTGGGATTCGATTTTTGCGAGAACTCCCAGATATCTTTTCTAGTGCCTAACAACCAATCACAGCACAACAGCTGTGCCAGCTGATGCAGCCGGCTTACGCCGGAGTGATGAAGCGAGGAACCAAGGTTGATGCTTTCCGCCAAATGAGCACCGGACTTCCAACACAGCTGCAAACAGTCTTCAAGCGAGTCAGGTGTCAAGTCTCCCTTAACGATTCGCTTCTTGGCTAGATATGCTCTTAGAATTGCTTTTGCTAATGGATTTCTGGAGTTTGCCACAGGGTCTCTGAAAGAGAAACAATGTTTCCAAAAGATCATTTAATTAATATAATCGTATCTCCACTAACAGCCACCTATCTACAACCGCCGATTTTTTTGGCGGACAGTCCATACATTGACTCTTGGATCAATAGAGTGTTTTCACATGACGTCACGGCGGCCATATTGGTGTCCCAAACCAGTTCTGTGGGAGTTGAACTCTTTCCTTATGCAAACGCTATCTTTTGTCCCAATAAATTTGCATATAGATGCTGGCCACGTGAGTGAAAACGCTCCATTTAGGTTTCTGGGAAACCGCCCACCTACCCCTCCCATAAGATAACATTAACACTTACTTCTCACTTTGGACAAAATGATGGCTTAGGGGAGGGGTAGGTGGGCAGTTTCCCAGAAACCTAACTTGGCCCCACCTCTTTACAACGGCAACTTTCTTCCGTCCCTAAAGTGGCCGTGTGAGAAGAGGAACAATTGTACCAAGGCCTAGGTCAAACTTCGAACTTTTCATGAGACGAACCAAACTTAGTGAGTTAAGTCCATGAAATGTTCGACGTCTGGCTCAGTTAAGTTCGTCTGAATGAGTTTGGATCGTCCAACACGTTCTATCTGTCCGAAGCAGACGGAAAGAACGTCTGAAGATCGTCTCCGGGACAAACTTCGATCTTCAAATGCGACGAGCTTAACTAATAATGTAAAAAATATATTATATATTATATCTAGCCTCGTTCGGGAGAAAATTTATTTCCTAACATAACATGGACCCACTGATTGGGACGCGGCCAAAGTTTGACGTTTTTGGTCTGATTCGACTCAAATCAGATTGGTTCGACCGTTCCGGTATTTCTAGTCTGATTTTCTGATAACTCCAGTGATTATTCTATACTTCTCCGGTATTTCTAGTCTCAGAGATTGACCCTTTTTAGCCTGTAGAACAGGCGTTAGTTTTTTCGCTTTTTTCAGGCAAGTGAAGGCAAGCGCAAACGAGCGAGGAGCGCGAAACACGCGCGACGGGGAATACGTGTGGACGAGGCCTAAGCCCGATATTCTTGGGGACAGGTCGCAATGCAAGCACGTACGCATGCCACCTGAGAATAGGGAGCTTAAGCGACGACGATGACGACGGCAGTGAAAACGTCGATAAAAAAGTAATTTACGTCCTTTCAAATTACATCGCGTCAATTTGGAACCGCCGCTCGATTTGTCAAATAGAGGCGATTTTTCTCGGAGTCGAATTCTTGAGAAAATTTATCCACGTTCAAACAGAGAAAGCAAAAGTCACCGTCGTATGTTCGCGTCCTAAATAAAACGTCGCATTAGGAGAGCTGTTGTTTTGCTCATAAAAAAATTGTTGTCATTGTTGTGGTTGTTTCAGCTCCCTAATACCAAACAGTAAACGAAACTGAAAACTAATTAGACTTACTCTGCATTCCACAAGCTCTTGGGAACGCTTTCCACGGTACTGTAAAACCTTTCGGCAGCTTCATCCTCGCCTTTCAGCCAGTGAACAGCCACCATTCCTACTGCTACCCACCACTTGGCCACCTCATCATCACTGACAGCAGCTGCTGCTGATGACATGTTGATAGAGTCTCTACTGGTAGACGCGCACTCATTCAGCATATGCAGGAAATGCAGGGCATCACGAGCACTCTCGTTACCAGATGAGTTCTCATCACTGGAGGTGGGTAGTACAATAGAGGAGAGTGCATAGCGCAGAAGGTGCTCTCTGAAAGCTTGGCTGACATGGGCAATTGGATCAACTGAAACCAATCAACAATTATTGATGAAAAAAAAAAACGTCAAACAATAACAACACCAAGGCAAAATGAAACTACGGAACAAGATCTGTCTCTAGCGACTCGTTTTATGTTAAGTTCTCTAGAACCGATAAAATGTATGCCTTTTTCACGTGAATCGGTGCCCAAATTTGGAACTCTACTATTCCTTATTGGAATAAAATACTTACACGTTCGTCCTTTCGTAAAAAAATAAAGAAATTATTACTAAATTTCTTGCGGTCAGAAGATGATTATGTCGAAGTCTCCCGTCTTATTAAGTTATTTAATACTTTAGGTTAGCCTCTCTTCGTAATCGTTATGTACTTGTCTTGTTTTATGTTAGTTTAAATTCTATTTACTGTATAGTGGTGTCTTCACTGTTATTTAGTCCATCTATATTTAAATCTTGTTTTGTAATATGTCTTCAGCTCCCCCCGCCTCGATTAGTTTATAAGCTATTTGCGGGTGGGAAAGTAATGTAATTAGTTATTCTCCAATTTTCAATAAAATTTGTTGTTGTTGTAAATGAATAAAGTTATGAACAATGGGGGAGCGGGGATGGCGCGGTAGTAGCGAGAGCACTCGCTTCCCAACACCAGGGACCATACGATCCGACGACGGCGAAACGTGTCATCCTCGGTAAATTTATTTAGATATTTTGCATACATTGTAGGTGGTTGAGAGGGGACATACATGGAGGATGACACATAATCATTAGGAGCCATCAACCGCTCTAATTATTAGAAACTGAGATTAAACTGTTCCCTTAGATGCTACCTTTACCTAAGGATCCAGGATCCGAGACTAACAGTGGCCAACAAGCAGCAGACTTAAAAGATTTGTGTTTGAAATTTTGGCAAAGGTCTCTTAGAAGTTAAAATGAAATCTAACGCAGTTAACAACAAGGAATGCAGTCTCTTGATGTCAGTCAGCGGTCAGTGTGGTGGCTCAAGCATGGTCAGCCGTGCTTGCATCAGCTCCATATGCTTACAGGGCACTCGCTTCCTTTAGTCTATGGAATGTGCATTTACCCCCACTCTACCCCCTCCTTTACCATTCCACTGATTAATCAGTGTGACAGGTGCCTGTTTCCATTGCTGTGCGGGCTCATGGCTGGAAGGTGCGGGTTTACCAGCCATGGGAATGTAACTCGGTCCAGTGGCTGGCTTTGTCAAAAGTGGAAGCCCCTGGACATCCCGTGCACCCATTTCCATTTAGAGACACGGGTTGTTAACTTCTCAGTAACTGACACCCCGCTTATTCAAGACATTGTGGCTCTTACCTTTATTACTGACACTGGCCCACATGCTGTCTCCTGCTTTACATGACCATTTTCTGCTCACAAAGAAACGGTGTCCCTTGGGTTGGAAAAGCCACTGTAGAGAAGCTGGAACTGTTTCGCCGCTGGCTCCATAAGATGTCTGTGCACGACTAAGAAAGTACCTCTGGAGGATAACAAAAAACGAGAAATTTTTATTTCGAGAGGTACGGAGGCTTACCGGTAATTTAAGTTATTTCAGGATTGTGTATACCGGCCACTAATACAGGGTGGCCGCTTCATAGGTGGCCAACCTCGTTCCCAGGGTTCTCTCCTACCTTTACGTGGGCACTTTAAGAAGGTTTCACTGTATTAAATCAAGGTCTGACAAAGTGTTAGCATGAGAAAACAGCCACTCGTGGTTTCCCCACGAAATGAGGCCTGATAAACAAGTGCAGAAATTCCACACTGATGACGTGCCACTACCCAGATCTGGGTAGTGACACATCGTCAGTATGGAATTTCTGCACTGCTTTCTCAGACGTCACTTCATTGGAAAACCACCTGTGGCCTGGCATAATGTCGGCGTTTTCTCTGGCTAAGAAAGTGTATCTTCCCCTAGCCTTTGTTCCAGACACTCTACACTGCCTGGACTATTATACAAATGATTCAGACGAAGCGTGAGCCAGCTGCAACACAGGCTGATCTTCTCCTGACTTGAGTATATGTATGAAGCTTTACTTGCAGTTACTGAGAGTGGCATAACCTACCGCAATGAAGTGAAGTCCATCGGGAAATGAACTTCTTATTTGAATTGCAGCTGATACGTAGATCTCAGCCAGGACTTCAAAGCTTACAAGTTTATCGGCTGACTCTGCCAAGTTCATAGCTGCCAGGCCAAGGAATGACGAACGCCAGCCATCCATGGACACATGACCTAGAAAACACAAAATGATCCCAATGAAGGGCTTTATAGAAAAACGTTACATGTAGCACAATATGAAATCTCAATCACCTCTACCCTTGAAAGACGACTGATGATTTTCTTGTCTTGGAATGTATAAATGAAGAACTAATTTGTCTATTTTGCCATTTTTTTCCTTCCCAATAATATAGTTTGGATTGGATGAACAGCTAAGAAAGAAGCCGTCACAAAATGATCCCAATGAAGGACTTTATAGAAAAACGTTACATGTAGCACAATATGAAATCTCAATCACCTCTACCCTTGAATGACGACTGATGATTTTCTTGTCTTGGAATGTATAAATGAAGAACTAATTTGTCTATTTTGCCATTTTTTTCCTTCCCAATAATATAGTTTGGATTGGATGAACAGCTAAGAAAGAAGCCGTCTTGGGGGGGGTACATTGCATGTTCCCAGCCTGAATTTAAATACAATCGTTTTCACGCTTTGAGGAGTGAGGCAAGTCAGTATTTAACCCATTTTTATGTTGTTTGTCGCCATTTTATCTAGTCTTACGTCACATTTTAAGGCCAAGTTGCTTGTTGGAATTTTTACGCTAACATGGCCTGAACAAAACCTTCAAACCTTTCTAGTCAGAAACAACAAAATGTACCAATTAACAATACTAGTAACCAGTCTGTACATTGTAAAAAAAACTACTTCATTTGTTTTGGACAACTTGAACTTTGAGGCCAGCATTCATTAACTGCAATTGATCCAACCCTTGAACCATTGAGCTCTTCTACCTTTTGATGCCTGCAGTTTAATGTAAGGTTGCGTAAGCTGATCACTGCTCACCTGTGAGACTCAGTTGATGAAGCTGATGATAAACCATGGCTGCATCCTTTGCAGAGAGTTTAGCATGCTCCTTGTCATCTTTGCTTCTGCCTCGTAGCTTAATTCCACCAGCAGCAGAGACAAGCCATGATCCAATCCACAGCCTGTGCAGGATATGACGCATTACCTGCCAAATCAGGCCACAGCCCACATCAAGCTTGGAGACTGGAAGTGGGCGTTTCAGAGCTGTCAGGCAGATCTGTAGGTGCCTTGATGCTGACATGGTGTCTCCCTGAGGAAAAAAAAACAAGAGAGAGAAAAAGAAGAAAGATCATGAACGGCCATTATTGAAAGACTGGTCATTACTAATATGAATTTAAAACAGCTCTATAACAACATAATGGCAGAAGAAACAACAATCAACCACCCTCTAAAACCTCTTTCACTTTCAGCAATTCAAATTCAATAGCTTTTCTTGACCAAACACTAATGCAATTTAAGTTGATGAAATATTAATTAATGCAATGCATTAGGCTGAGAGAAGTGAAGAAAACCTTTTAAAAATGACAATGTTTGTATCGGAAGGGGAAAAACTTGCCCTCCACCATACATACGTCTGGAAAAATTAGTGACTTTGCAGAGCCATATCCTTGTTAGTTTTCAGCACACCACTCTCACATTAGGAAACTCAGCAAATTTTAAGGCACTCTTTTTAGCATATAATTTTTCACTAACTTGACCATGTAAAAAGTTAAAAAATATATAGATCTGGAAACTGGATCTATCTTAAGACATGCTGTGTGGTAACTAAGATTTGCTGCCAACACCACAGCACCTGCACATGGCTTGAACTTCATCAGGTCAATTTTTCAGGAATATGCTCATGACATTATGAAAATAGTTTAATCATCTTGCTACAGAACAAAAATCATTTCTGCTACACTCTAAGTTCTTGCTCTTCCTACATTCCAAGGTACCTTGGCTAGATCTGCTTCTGCTTGGTTTCTATGCCTCCAAAACAGCACGGCATTGTCAGAGTGAGGTCGTGTGACAGGCTCACCAAACACAAAGATGCGCACCAGTACTGCTAGGGCTATAACTCCATGAAGCAACCATTTGATTGCAAACAGAGCAACACTCTGTAGCCAGTTATCCTGTGGTACAAGACTGGCACTGCCAATGGAATTCAAGGTTCTTGCACCAGCGTGTGAGGCGTGCCTTTCATTTACTTCCGAATTAGAGAATAGCATGTCTGATGAAAGAATAAAAAATCACTTCAGTATCTCAAAACGAATTTAAACAGAAAGCTACATGCAGCTTACAATAAGTTTTAAAAGGTTTCATTAACATTTAGGGGCGAAAGGTTTGGACTCAACAGCAAACTTAAATTTAATTAGTTGACAGACTACAAAGAAAGTCCTGTCCAGTTTTCCGGGACAAGCAGAAAGTAATGCCTTATTCACACTAAATGAAACAGGAGAGGAAGAAGAGAAAAACAGTCTCTGAAATGAGAAAACATGCTTTTACACAGAATTCACATGAACCTTAACACATTATGTAATTGCACTAAATTCGCATTTGATAAAAGACAGTAGGCAGATTTCATGAAGAAAACAAATATTAATTTAAACCATGTTTAACCAAACAGCATGTTTAAGCTTTCGTGTGAATGGGGCCTAAGTTTTCAACCTCACTTGTCCAATGGGCAAGGGTGGATGCATGTCATCTGGTAACCAAATCATTAGTTAAGGCAAGGAAACAATAGCCCTAGGCTATCAAAATGTGAGAGGTCTGAATAACCTGCATAATTATTATTTTTGTGAAAAATTATCATAATGTTAACAATAATTTCTGGGTTGGATATCAGGTTTTTTTGCACTAAAAACTAAATGGGTTAAGGAATGGAGGGACCTTCAAAACTTTTCGATGGCAATACTTCCTTCTAGGAGAGAAAATAATGCTGTACCTTTATCTAGTTGGGGAAAGACGTAACTCAATGGGTTAATGAACAAGAAGGTGAACATGAAGGCAAAAAGAGCTACACGAGTGCGATCCATCATTCCACAGCTACTGACAGGAAGAGCCTCCACCTTGACTTGTGTCTTGTCTTTTGTAAGAGAGTCAGGTGTGGGTGGCGTTAATGGGTTTGGTATTATGCTACTGGTCTTGCTGACTTCTTCCACCTCACTGTTGTCTTGTTTCTGGGTGGCTGATGTTTCAGTCATGACAGTATCTTCTGTTACTTCTCGTTTTGTCTGCTGTTCCTTTTGCTTCCTTACAAGCTCACTGATGGTTTCTGGCAAAGAGAAAGACCCACAATCCATGAAAAATAATGTCAACTGTTTACAGTTGTCATTTTTAGTCACATGGCTAAAGGATTATTAAAGGCTCACGAGTTGATATATTATCACAACTGCCATGTGTTGTGATTCACAGTGAATTTTTTTTTTTTGCTCAGACAGTTTGAAAACAACACAGTTGAAAATCATGGGATACTATGAGCAAGAACCCGCAAACGTTTTCATCGGAAATGAAAGGAAAATAGAACCAACAGAGCCCGACTAAGTAACATTTCTTTCCCTAATGGGGACAGACTTGACACTTAAGCTACCTATGAAAAGGAGGAGTACGATCTTGCAAACTTGCCTAGTAAATTGTAATTTAGGCAAGGTTAATCTCGAGACTTCACTAGTGGATCAGCAGTCGAGCCCCAGGCAGGCAGGCTTGTGCAGGCTGACAGCCAGGTCTACAAGGGCTTCCACGTGATTGCATAACTCAGCTTTCTCAGCTTTGCTTTGCTGCTGCTTTGCAGAATAACTTTGACCAATACTTAAAAAAAAAACAGTCTACCTATTTTACGTGGAACCAGGACGCAGGAAACCGTGAGCCATAAGGTGATTCTAGCTTATGTTCATGACTATACAAATGGCATAATTATACATTCATCAAATTTAAGTTGATTTAATAAAAGGATGTTGTGTATTTGAAAATTACTTCAATGAGTTTGGAAAGAAATGCACCTCTCTTTTGCTGTTCCATTTTTAGAGCTATGTTCTCCTGCTTGAGTCGTGCATTATCATTTTGAAGTTTATGAATGACCTCTATCGCCTTCCTCAAAACACCTGCTTTATTCATCTGAAAAAGAAAGAAGTGGACAATTGGTGAACAGAAAGCGTGGGAATACATAATCAAGAAGGAAAGCTTTCCAAAAAATCATTTTTGTTACAATCAGTATTGAGTAACCAAAAAGATGTTGCTTCAGCTCAATCAAGAAATCAGTATTGAGACTTAACTAAGCCTACCTTCGTATCTTGCCCACAAACAAGGTCTTTCAACTCCACAATTTTGTCATTGATACTAGTTCGGTAACGCTTCTCGATCAAATTATGAGCTGAGCGCTTTTCAGTTTTAACACCACTTTGTCCCTTGGAGTTAGCCAGGCGACTTATAGGTATCTTGTTAGCATCCAAAACAATGGGTATTGTTGCTGTTAGAACACCGTTGGGGCCCTGAGACAGGGTGGGTTGAAGTGTTGACTGACTCAAGTCTAAGGTTCCAATAACAGTTGCAGGAGCTTCTGACTTGACAACTTGAGTTTGGAGTTGAGACTGGAAATGATGTAAGTTGTTATTTAACCACTGAATGTGAGTAATACAAGTACTATCCTACTTGGAGAGAAAATACTTGGCTCTAAGACAGAGCCTTTGGACTTACTAAATATTGGTAAATCTTGTTCAAAGCTGGGTTAAGATAACCCAGGGTTAGCACAAAATTTGAAGTCAGATATGAAAGCTTAAAAAGTAAATTCTGTTTAATTCTTTTTGTCAACAAGTTGATGATTGGATGCTCTTAAAAATATCAGAGAAAAGTATCCCAGAAAATGCTTTTGAACAAAAGAAAAGATACCGCCGCTAAATTTAACCCTGGGTTAAGAGCTAATAATGGCCTTCAAACAACTGGGCCCAGTATCAAAAATAGCCTCAGCTTGCAATACCCAACAAAGTTACCCAGCATTACGAAAATCAACACTTTTCAAGCAATTTAGCACAGTCAAATGCCTAAACAACTACAGTATTTTCTTTAAAACTGCAATTGAAAGTCCAAGGGTTATGGGTCATATATTTGAACTTGCACGTTTTCAAGGCTTCTTGGGCTCAAAAGGAGTATGATACCCCAAATAAGAACAAAATTAGATACCGTATTTATTCGATTAACTGCCCTGGGCGCTTATTAAATTTGTGGACCTTGAGAGTGGGCGCTTATTCGAGGTGGGCGCGTATTCGAGGTCTTAAATGCCTTATTAAAACAACTACAAGAAGTAGTTTTTTATTTTGCAAAACTGCAAAATATAAAAGTAACCAAGGGTTATGGGAAAATATATTTGAACTTTAGTACTTCTTCACTTTTTTTTGGGGGAAGGGGTGGGTTTTGGTTTGGGCTTATTTGAAAGGAGGTATGATACCCCAAATAAGAACAAAATTAGATAATAATAAGTGTGTTTGTTTGGCTTTGTGAACTACATTGTATGCTTGATTTTGCACACCAAGCAATGTTTCTGGAGCTTCCAGCAGTGTTTCTGTTATGTAACAGGCACTTGCTCACAAAATAAATTGTAAAAAACCTCAACATACTTGTTGTGCCTGTGGACTTGAAGCTTTGACATTCACTTTAACAGGTGAAACAGGAGAGGTTGGCTGCAGAGGGGATCCTGGGGTGGACGACACTGAGGACACAGACACAGGCGATGGAACTTGTTGTTGTGGCGATGACTGTTCTTCAGAAACCACCACTTGTTGCTGTGGTGTTGATGGCGGCTGCTGCGTTGGCCACACACCAAGGTGCTGCAGTAATTGCTGGAGGATAGCAGTCTGATTCAACATAGGCTGAGCAGGCTGCTGTGGTGGCTGTGGTTTGGGCTGCAATAATTGTTGTTGCAGCTGCTGTTGTTGCTGTTTCTGCAACTGCTGTTGTTGCTGTTGTTGCTGTTGCTGTATCAAAAGCTGCAAAAGCTGAGGAGTAGTTTGAGGAGTCTGTTGAAGGTAGCACAAGATCAGATAAGTTTATTTCAAGGTTACCAGTCAACAAAGTGAAAAGATCATCCCGGACTACTCCCTCGTTTTCCCTCTCCCTCATCTATGAAACCCTACATTGTATGTCAGGAGCACCATCTCCTTGACATCCAAAAAGGACTTTAAACAGCACCCCATCACTTATGTGGCTAAAATAATGGAATTTGGGCTAATTTAAACTCATAACATGGCTGGCCAGCTGTCTCTCATCAGAGATATGCAGGGCGCCCTAATTAATTGTGTCACAGGGGATTGTCAGTCTTTCCACATCCATTCTCTTGAGGTCAAGCCATTGCATGTTGTTGTCGGTCGTGGCTCATTTCTGCAAAGTGTCTTTTCTGCTCCCTAGCCTTTCGCCCCTCCAGTAAGTATAATTATGGTAAGTAAGTTAGGTTCCACTAGTTAGCAATGTGACGGTGCCTGGGTGGATGCCACTCTCAGGGTTGTCAAGGTTACACAATGCACTTGGCCGCAGTTTAGGGCTCCACAGCCTCACAGGCACCTCACACCATGCTCATCTTTGCTCATGGGATTAACTTTATTTACAGCTTCTTTCTGTCGATTTTTCTGCAGAATTCATTATGTTATCCTCTTATCATTGCCTGTTATTATTATTGTAAACATCACTAGCTCATAGGTACAGTGAATGGAATTGGAAATATTAAGGTACAATTTTATTGTTAAACAGCTATGATTTGCTGGTAAAATCCAATTTCAGGTTAACCACCATATTTCCTTTGACTCCTATGAATAATTTGGGCAACCAAACAATAGAAATTCTGAACCGAAATAGGCTGAATACTGATCTAAGCTGAGTAAGGATTTTACCCACAATGGAGAAATTATTGTAGAATGCATAAGGACTACTGCTTTAATTCAGTAAGCTTATCATTTTTGCCAATTGTGAAAAAATTTTGTCTTCCCTGTCTTCTCTCTGACCACATAAGCTCTGTTTATTGCCAGATGCTCGGACTTAATTTTAATAATGCAACATACATTGTACACTGTATATCTGATGATTGATACAGATTCTCTTGTCTCAAAGTTTGAGCAACATCATCAGAAGTCATGGGAAGGAGCAGGTAAATGATCATTACTCTAAAGTACAATACTCTCAGGTTTATTTCAGGTGCCAGGTTTATTGAAAGTGAGAGCTTTTGCATTTCTTACCTGTTGGGTTATAACTGACTGTTGTTGAGTCACAGATGGTGGCGGAGATGTGACAACAGGAGTTCGAGAGGCTGGAGCTAGAATTGAAGGTTCCCGAAGAAGTTGCTCTAAGCTTGTGTTATGCATGGATTGTAGTCCCTGTTGGTTCTTCTGTCCCTGGAGTAAATTAAGCAGCTGCTGTGTAGCTGTGTTCTGGCTTTGCAAAGGGGCTGTAGTACCATTTACATTTAAGTTCTCCTCCTGTTTTACTGCAATGGGAGTTTGTAACAGTGACAGTACTGATTGTCCTTGCTGGGGTGTAGCTTTTGAAAGATAGTCTTCAAAACTGAAAGATGAACAGTCCTCATCTATGGCCATGGATGATTCAGGAGGAGTTATGGGTGGCGAAAGAACAGAGTTTGGTGGTTCAGTCTTTATGTTGACTCCTGCTGTTGTACCATTAAGTTCTGAAGTTGGTCCACAAAGGAAGTCCAAAAATCTCTCTAAATAACAAAAAAAAAGTTAAGTTAAGAAATGTAACAAATGTCAAGTAAACTCTAAGCTCTCCTTGCGACCACTCTAATAAGCAACCAGCTCTAGTTACGACCACCTAAAGTTGTGAAACCCTGTTTGAAGTGTGACTTAAACATTGTAATGAAACGCTCTAGTAAGCGACCATGACCACTTTTGGAATTACCCAACTGGACTTTTCCTTTGTTTTTAAGCTCTTGTAAGTGACCACTCAGAGTCTTATTCATAAAAACCAACACTACAATGAAACTGCACACTGCACTAATGGTTCGATGATAAAGATCTTGTATGGTGCAGTATTGTATTTGTAACAGTTCAATAAAGTTCGGATATACAGACACTCATTAAACATTAATTTCTTTTGTTTTTTCTTTGTGAATTATCAATGAGTTTCTGAAGCTGTCCTCAGTGACCATCCCCTATTATTTTACCACTTTTACAACCACTTTTCCGAATTTCCGATGTGGTCGCTTACGAGAGCTTTGACTGTAAAATGTCTCAAGTAGATCAAATTGCATGATTTTCAAAAATAGTTTTTCTTTGGCAAATAAATTATAACCTAAGCAAGTTTAAATGGCAAAATTGTCCTTTGGGATGGGTTCTTTATGCATGCAGTGGAGTTTCCCAGCACATAGAAAAGCCAAAAGGCTTTGCAAGTTTTGTGTTGTTGGCTTAATTATTAGTGTAAGTCTTTGTGCTTATGTTTAGGAGCTTTTTTGTCCTTTTTTCTATCCCCTCCCTTACTCTAAGCACAGATTACAGTTAAGCCTCAATAAGCAACTGCCACCTATAAGAAAAAGAAAAAGATAATAATACCGGTAGATATAATTACAAAGTAAGTTTTAGTGGGAAATTCAGAAGAAAAGAAACTATGACTGACATTTGAACAGATGATTTTTATAAAGCTTTTTAAAACTGCTAGTAGAGAACCGTTTCAAGTTTGTTGGTACCGTTTCCAATAATTTGGAGGCTACACATACAAAGGTAAATTTGCCAGTGTTGGTCCTTATTTATGGGGTGACCAAAAACTGATCATTCTTTATTGAAACTTTGACAAAATCATTCTTTTAGAGTTCCCAAAGTATGCGACAAGATGACTGAGAATATTTTGGTTATACACACAATTCTAGCTTAGCTTGACCAAAAAATGTGAAACTCACCATAACACAACCCTACAATAATTATTCTTGTAGCTTTTAAGAGCCTGAGTATTGGTCTGGTTTTGGGAATAAAGCCTGCAACTGGTTTAACCCTTTAAGCCCTAAGAGTGATCAGCATCAAATTTCTCCTTGTAATATCAATGCTTTGTAAAACAGAGTGGTCATGAGAATTAAGGACATGATCACACAAGATGAATTTGCTTGATATTTTATCAATTTCTCCCCAATTCTTTTGTAGGAAATGAATAGGGGCAACAAATGAGAATTCAAATTTTGATCTTAGGGTTTAAAGGATTAACCCTGCCCCAGTTTAATCCAGTCCCCAGGAAATTAAAGAGAGGAAACTAGAACAACGACTGTCATTAAAGTGTTTAGTTCAGCACATTTTTTCCAAGTTAAATAATAAAGTCATCAATCTGGAGTATTAAAATTAAGGTCCAAAACATAAGATTTCTTTAGAAGGTAGGACTGATGTAGCCTTCTAAAACATTTGCTGAGTTCCTCAACACCATAAAAATAAAAAAAAAATTTGTGTACAGTTTTTTTTAATTACAATGTAAGTCTACATATCACCTAATCACATGTACTCTGCATGTTTAGATACAAAAAAAAGTACAACAGCAACTGAAAAACACGAGTGCCAAGAGCAGTGAACAAAGGTCAGTCGCTTGACCGACATTTTATCCTTTCAAACAAAACTTTGTATCCATGAGGTTGATAAGATGTTTGTTGCTGTGGTTTGGAAGAAAAGGCAATATCCTTCTGAAAGTGAAAGTCCATGTAACAAGTGCTGCGTGTGTTTTTCCTTTTATTTTTGTCTTTGAAATGTCTATAGACACAAATTCATTGAGAATATAGTCTGCAAGGATTTAAATACATTTTCAACTTTTCAATATAAGGAAGTAGTGAGAAGGGTGCTGATAAAGCATAAGCTTATGCTTACATACTTCAGCTCATTCATCAACAATGTTCGACCAAAAGCAACATTATAGATCGAGGAGAAAAACCCATAATGCTTATGCATCGATCCTCAAACAGAAAAATAAGCCATACAATGATCTACTTATTTGCCGCTCATTAAAACAACAAAGCCATTTGGCGCGTAAACAAAGAGAAACTGCAGTCCATCACCTTTGTTACCTAACCAAAAAATGTTACTTTTTGCGAAGGTTTCTAGCCGATACTATAACAAGAAAAGACTTACCGTCAAAACCGTCAATCATGGGCTCATTCATCCCCTTATCACTGTTAAAATTCGTCCTCAAATCCGACATTGTTTCACCAAGAAAGGATGGCCATCCTTCTCCAGAAGGGTCCGCCATTTTGGCTTCCATCACGGAGGAATCAGTTTCAACCAATCAGAGCATCCGCAGATCGGATGATCTCGTACGATGTTCCGTCATCGTCTGTTTTCTTCCAAGCTTTTTCCCATCGCCTCTTTCGGCCTGAGCTAGGGAAGAAACCCACGCGAGTGCCGCGCGTGGTAATCGCCTCTCTACAAGAAAGCAAGTCGGTGTATCGTAGACGTCTACTTTTAAGTAAAGGAAAGGGTGTCATCTGTATTCAGGCTTCTCTGCGAAAACTTGAAATCATTTCCAAACAGATAATATGCGAAAAAACTGGTCTAACCAATCTCACAGAAGACACAGCTTTCCGTTTTATTTTCTCTTTTGAAAGGGGAGGTTAACAAATTATAGTTCCTATGCAGACTTTACTATTAGTTGAAAAGGAAAACAACAACTACAAAAACAAAAACAAAAAACCCAAATTGAGCGCTAAGATTGATGGGATTGTTTTCTGATGTAGCCATGGTAGTGACGTCACAGGTGTATGGCGCTTAGAAAAACATGGCGAAAGCGAAGAGGGGAGACATTTTCAGTGGGAAAAAAGTGGAATTGTATCCCGTGAGGTGATCGAGATATTACTTAAAGAGGTAATAATGAGTTTTTTCTTTATCGTTCGGCAAATTTAAGGTAGATCTGCGGTAAGAAGTGTTCTAATTGCCAGATCAGTTTGATGCGTACAGATTGACTTTTGCCAGTTTGAACACCTCTGTTTAATTTTCCTAGTGTCCGTTCTTCCTTTGCAAAACACACACTTATTTACTTGAAATCACAAATTTTATTCCACATTCAAGAAAAATAAATGTAGAAAATTAAGGTAAAGTGTAAGCTTTAAATAAGTCTTGTGTACCAGCCTTACGTTTTTCAGCATGATTCAGTAAGTAAGTAAGTAAGTAATTTTATTTAACCACATATCGCATATGAGCGATAGCTCGTTTAAATGCAAATGTGCCATAAAAATTACAACGTGATAATTTACATAATCTACATGTACGAGTAATGAATAAAAATAAGAAATAGAAAAATTAAACCAACTAAAAGATAATAATAATTTTAAAAAAAAAATATTGGTAATCAGATTGTCTATTTACAAAATTCACAGTTGCAGTCATACGATGAAGACAACTGTATGTTTTGTAAGTTTTTCCTAAAGATAGAGAGGGACTCCAACATCCTTATTTTGTCTGGTAGACTGTTCCATTGTTTGCCAGCCTGGTACGTGAAAGAATGTTGCATATAAGATGAGGTCGGTCTTGGAAGAACAACCTTAAGATGGCCCCGTAGGCTGTAACTATTGTTTCGCAGTAAAAACATTTCCCGAATGTAGTTCGGTGCCTGGTTATAAATGCTATTGTATTCAAGTATCAGTGCTTGTTCTATGCATCGATGTTCCAAGCTTTTGATATGTACAGTTTTAAGTAGGTCTTCATAAGCAGTCGACTTGGAGTAGTTAAGAAGAGTCCTAAGAGCAAATGCATTGGTTGACTCTAGTTTTGCAGACAAACCTTTACTTAGACCTATGAACAATGGTGATGCGTATTCAAAGTGAGGCAGAATAAATGCTTTGTACAGTTTAATCATAATATCTGAGGGTGATTGCATGTTTCACTGTAGGGTTAATGTAATTTGACGAATGAGATTACGAGGCAGAAAGTTTAAGACCCCAAGGTGGAAAGAAGAACGAAAACAAGAACAAAAACAAAGGCTTCCAAAATGTGAGACAGGATCAAATTTTCCAAGACCCAAAATTTTCCAGGAATCATGCTACCACTTTTTCAGTGCAGCCTACAAGCACAAGCAACAAATTTATGAAGAACTAAGTCATAGATCCCTGCACTGGAAATGTGATATAACATGTTACCAAATGTGTTTTGCAATCTTGTGTTAAACCCTAAAATACTTAGCATAATTCACACACGTACCTCCTACTTTGATCCATTACCTGCAAACTCTACCCTCTCCCTGGATGTAAATGTCTAAACACATGTGGAAAGGTTTTTTCCGTATTAACTTTCCTTCATAACATGTGAATGACCAAAACTACATTTTGTTTCTGTGTAGAACCATGATCCTTGTTTAGTTGTAAGTCTTGCAATATTAAAATTATTGAAAGATTTTCAATAATTGCAAATATGAAACAAAAACAGAGTGGTTAATCAGTTATTTAATATGTGCATGGCAAAAGGCCAAAGTGACTGTCCCTCAATTTATCATTCATTTGACCATTGTCAGCATGCAAGACATTTGAATCTTCTCAATATTATTGTCACTTTCAGTAACAATATCAAAGAAGTAGTCCCAAATTTCCAAAATGGCTTCACTGGCTAGTCAGCTACCACCCATCAAAGTAGGTGGCCAGGTCACACAGCAGGTTATCAGGCATGTGCCGTCTCCACCTGCTAAAGGTACATCAATAGGAAGTCCTTTTCAGCGCAGTAGTAGAGGAATACAAAGACCTGAGGGCTCATTTATAAGGAGTCCTCCTTCTGATCTAAAGAAGCCAGCTAGTACTGAAAAGATAGATACTTCAAGGTATGATTATGTAAATTATTGATAATATTTATTTATGAGGTAGACAAATCAAGGTATATATTAATTACATAATTCTTGTTCCAATGATGTATGATTCTAGTTACCTTTACAGCATGGGTGTAAATTATTGATTTATTACAGATGTGTTGTAAATTAGTTCAACTTAGAAAATCATTTTTTATGTGCATCTTGTACATTGAGACAATACAGCAACTCTCTCATTATAAGTGACCACCTTTGGTGCGCCACAAAGTGGTTGCTTAGGTGGTCGCTTACAGTACAAGAAGTGGTCACTATGAGAGAGTCGACTGTATATACAATGTATGACAGAGATGCTAACCTCTGCAGTGGTTTAATGTCTTGCATGCAACCATTTTTGCTTTGGATATCCTCTAAAAAAACCAAGCTTTTTATCATTGGTATTATTGGTCTTGTCCTAACGGTAATTATAACACTAGGGTTGAATAAACTGCCATTGCTTGGTTATTTTCTTTTGAAAATCCTAATTCTTTCCCTTGTATCATCTTGGTTTAACAGGTACCGCAACACATATGAACACAACCTGTGCCTTGACATGTTGAAAGAAGGATTCCATCAGTCCTTCCGTGAGCTTTTTAACCTGATGGAGAAGCAGAAGGCTGACATTGGCAGGTTAGGGACAGATTCTGGACTATCTGATCAACCATTGTTGGAAAATGAACCAGCAAAACTTGACCAACTGAAGCATCATCTTACAACAGCTGAGGCTGCAAAGCGAAGAGGTGAGAAAATCAACTCCATACTCTCCATCCGATATTCCACAAACCACTGCCTGGTTAGCTCAGTTGGATTAGGCTGATCTGCTGTCACAGGCAGTTGCAGGCTCAAACTCAACACTCGGGGTCTTGTTTCTACATATACAGTGTATGTATTTGTATTGCAGTAGCAGATCCACATCAGCTATCAAAATGCCTTATATATTACCTGTTTATCAAATTAAAATGGTATAGTGCAAATTAGTATTGAACCTAGGGTGATTAAAAATTTCCTTAGTCTCCTAGCCCTAATTAATCATTGGAATGAAGCAAATAATATTAGAATAATGAATTATATCTATTCTGGTTTAACTTAAAAATGGCTTTTACCTGCAACACATACACCTCATTTGAGTTATCACTCCTTAAAGCATGTCCTTTGTTCTTACACAAGGTCAGCTTTTGTACAATGCATGACTAGTAATAAAGATCATCGTTTTTAACCCATTTGCCCCTGAACCGCCCGTAACCACCCGTGCGGATCCAGGTCCTTTCTACCCTTTGTGACGTCATCAGTTTTAACGGTCAAGGACAACTTTCTTCGCTAACTTGTGCAGAGTGAAGAGATCTTTCAAACCATACCAGAATGAGCACAATTCAGTCAAGGACACCGGAGAAAGAAGCAAAAAACCACGTGACAAGGACCTGAAAATCTCCATGAAAATCTTGTTCCATTACCCACCTACCTTTCCTTTCACCTAATCCTAAGATTCTAAAAGCTTTCCTAAAAACTCTTCCCACCAAAATGAAGCCTACTAAATGCCCAGCAAGAGAACAAAAAATGAGGCAAGAAAAGCGAAAAAAGAAGGGAGGAGAGAAAGCGAAAAGTAAAAGTCAAGACTGCTGTGTCACTTTTAAACCCAAAAACTATGGTGAAATCTTGCTTTCTGCGCATGCCCGAACTTGGCAAGCTGATATTTTGCATCTGGATCAGAAGGCCGCCAAGTGTACGACCTGTAAACCAGTTTGTGGTAAGTTTTAGCTCTTTATAGCACGACAGTGACCAGAAAACCACTCGACTAGCTTCAAAACGCGTTTTTCGGCAAAATCTCCAGGAGCGAATGGGTTAATATGTAAATCTGATTATATTAAACTAATATATTTACATGTAAACAGGAAAGATGGACCAAGTCTACCACAGCTTATTGGCGTTGGCAAGATTCTTTGAAGAAACTGGGGACTTTTGGTTGTCTGATCATTTCTACAGCTCTTGTTTGAAGACAAGCCTGAAAATTAGAGGAGATGGAAGAAGAAAAGAATCAGAGGCCAACTGTAACATGGGTTTAGCTTCTGAAAAGAGAGGTAAGCAAAATTATTTACTAATGAGTGTTGTAATTTCAAAGTACATGTAAGAGAGTTCTTTTGAGCAAAAACTACCTGTACATTGAAATGGCATACAGCGCATGTATAAATTAAATTTTTGTTGAAATCACATTTTGCTCTAAGTTTTTGCATGAGACTCAGTGAGTTGAACCCACTTTGTGGACAACTGCTTTAAATAAGGGTATTTGTCATGACACACAGCTTTTTGTTTCTCACAAAAACCTGACATTTTCTTCAAATTCAACCACCAAGATCCTGGTGGACTTTTGATTACTAATAGAAAATAGAATTCCAGTTTCCAAAATGTCTGTGCTGATTTTACTTTTTTTGTTTTGTATTACCCACCAATTTTACTTTTTTTGTTTTGTGTTACCCACCAACATCAGTGTTGGGGGCATGGGGGAGGGTGGAGGGGTGGCTTTTATTTACTAATGGGAAAAAGCGTGCAAATTGTTTCTGGAGTTTTTTGACTTACAGTATTCAGGAAAGTGGAATAATGTGAGATAAGTGTTTTCTTGGTACATTTCTTCATTATGAATTTGCCAAATTTCTTTTGCTGCAATACAATAATACAATTATATACAATATTTCTATTTTTAGGTGATCTCTTTAAGGCTGTTGAGTATTTAGAATCATTTTATAACCTGACAAAAGGGCGTCTGTGGCAGACAGACAGTGGGGAAAACCTGCATTCACTTTCCTGTGAACACCTTAGAAGAGTCTATACAACTATCTCAGATGAGGTAAACTTCAAGTTGCTGTAGTTTCGTTCTGAAAACAAAAGAACAAGAAGAACAAAGATATAGCAATTACATTTTTAAGTACATGTTATTCAACAAACTTTTATTGATCTAAAAATGTTTACTGCACAAACCCTAGGGGGTAGTCTTGAAGCAAAGTTTTATACCTGGAGGCTCCGCCCCGAGGTCCAACCCCTTACCAGAAAAGGTACCCCTTTCATATATACTTTTTATTGACAAATGGTATCCCTTTCACATGTCTATTTTTAGACCTTTTCATTCCTTTTAAAACTGTAAATGCACTGTCTTCTGTCTTTTTATAATGGGACTCCCTCCCCCCGGGCAAAAACTTGCATTGTTGTTTAGCTAGGCATTTCTAATGTACTTCATACATTTCTCATGGACTTGTAAAGGTTGTGCTTGAAGTTATGGCACGTCTCCCAAAACCAGAACTTTTTAAGGCACAAACCTAGCTGTGTAAGAGCAAGGATCTGTTTTGCTGCAAGATGGCACAGGGCTCTATTATTTTCTTTTTGCCTTCTCCTTTAAGATTTTTGCAACAGCCCTCTCCCTGTTCCGAATAATGACATGCCACAGACATTGAATTGTACTAAGTTACAATACATTTTAAAAGCTGTACTTGTCGGAGAAAAGTATCATGATTATTAAGAATCATCATTTTTATTGAAGATTAAAGAGGAAGATTTGATGAAGTCCATAGAGTATTTATTGAAAGCATATGGAATGGCTAAAGAAAGTAAGTGATAACTGTAACGTTCATGCTCATTCGACTGGGAGATTTTCCTTGTCTCATTTCTGAGGAAGTGCTCTATACACATGTGTGTTTTACCCAGTTTCGTTGTCTCAGGGTTGTAATCTGAGAATGACTGGTCAGTGTCATCTGAAATGAAAGAGGTCTCCAAAAAACCAGAACTCTCCCATGTTCTAAAAAAAAAAAAATTTGTCACGAAGAGCCATGTAATTTTGACCAAATTGTTTCTTTACATTTGTTTTATTACCAACTAGAGGATTGCTACAAAGTTTGATGAGGTTTCTTTATGTTAAATTATTGAGATGTCTCATTGCTTTATGAAATAATATCTAATGAATAAAATTATGACCAACTAAAAATGTCAAAATTTAGAATTGGACAGTTACACTTCCAGACCTTTGCATTCTCTCCAAAGACTGCAATTCATTAATTCATTTTTTCAGGCAGCTTCTGCCGAGCTAGTCACCTAGCCACTCAGGATGAGAGTTTGCTGCAGACTGCAATAATAAAGTTTTAATTCCGGTTATTCTCAGTTAATCTAATTTAATTAAGCATAAAATAATAATTCGCTAATAATTTACTTGTCACAATCCAGGTGGGGATGATCAACAGGAGGGTTTAGCTGGCTACAGACTGGGAAATGCATATGAAGAAATTGGAGATGCTGAAACTGCCATTCTGGTAAGATTTCTGCCGCAATTTTTGCCCTTCCTAAATCTAATTTAATCAAAGATTTCATGCACAGTGTGGGCTAAACTTTCAACAGAAAGCCCTAACAAGGAAAGTTCACTGAAGCTGTTCAAGCATCTATCCATGTTATAACTTTGAACACTTCGCTGGCTGGCCAGCCAGCAGAGGAATCTTGCTTAGTTGTTGCTTATACATACTAGCAACAGACAAACTAGAGATGGTATATTAAAATAATCTTTGAAAGTCTAGTGGATAGTGATGCCTGTAACTTTCAATATATTAATTTATAAGTTTGTTATGCTTTTGTTTGATTTCAAACTTCTAGTATCATAATGGCTACTTGGAAAAATGCCAGCAAACATCAGATGATGTTGGAATGGGGCGAGCTTGTCAAGCCCTTGCAAGGGCATATGAAATGTAAGTTAATTTCAAATTTAAATAGAACTTATGTTAGCTGTTTCAAGGTGTTTTAATATTGAGAGAGGGATTGAAACTGTGCTGAGGTGATTACTGCATTTTTTTTTCTTCTGTGAAAAAAAATCATCTGCACTTTAATTTCAATTTTGAATCTATTATTATACAAGTATCTAAAAAGTTTGAACAAAAAGTAAAAAAACAATAAGAATAGATGTCAAGTTTGTCGTAAAATATTACATCTGCTATAAACCTGTTGGTTTCAAAAGTTTATTTCTCAAATAATGAAGAATTTCCCAAAATAAAAATTACATTTAAGGCTATCAAGCAAGACCTGAGCTTTCAGAAAATTGATATCTGAGGTGTCAATTTTCACACCAAAGGTGTGATTTCCGATTTATATCACAGGCTCAAAAACTCAAGAATTGCTTATTTCTTGCTTTCCCTTGATAAGTACATGTACTTAGATTGGTAATTTACCCATAAATTCTTGGCATTGTTAGTCAGTTTTTCCTGAAAATATTAAAGGGACAGTGTCCCGATAATGCGCACGCGCGAGCGTCATCTGTTTTTTCTTCAAAAGACAATAGGAACTGTCATATTGACTCGACAAGATTTCCTTCCGGACCGCACCGCCGACGGAGATTTGTTGTTTATATTCTCAGGCAATATTTTAGACTTTCGAAGAAATCTTTTGTCTTATTTAAAATTTGGCTCGCGGCAAGAAGATTCATCGCGATTTTATCGCTAGCAGGGCCGTCTCGCGACCCGAAAATCTCTTTCCGCTCGCTTTAAAACCAGATTTTCTAATGTGAAACTTGTGTCAGAGGTCAATTGTTTCCAAGTCCAGTAATATCTGCCTGATTTGCTCGCGTTCTAGCCTCAAACGTTGGAAAGATAGAAATAAAAATGCAATCTCAATCATCGCAAAGGTTAGTCAAAAATTATATTATGATTATGAGTTTTTCTAAACATGTAGCGCCTGTTTGTTTGATTTTGTCGGCCGTGGGGCGATTCAGTTAAAAGTTTACTAACGCGTCGTTGCAGAACATTCTGCTTCACGAAGCTCCCCTCCACAAGATCCCCGGGGGGTACTTTAGAAATTTCTGGGTGGGGATGTGCCGCTGGTACCCTGGAACCCTTAACCTATACCAGAGCTAGTTCAGCTGAATTTTGCCACCCTATACTAGAGTAAACTCCCCAAATCCCCCCTATCCTAGAGTAGCTGTTTTCCATAAACTACTGAGGTCACTAGCATAGTCTAGCCAAAACAAGCTGAGTTGTGTAAATTTCAAATTTCAAATTTGATTTTTTTTATATGTTTGAGTGGCAATTCCCCGTTTCCCTACTCCAGATAAAATCTTCAACCAACTGATCAGTTTCCTGAAAAATGATACCCTATTCTAGACCCAAACACTCTGATTTATATACCCTATCCCAGAGTAAACTGCTTGAAAACCATACCCTTCACAGCGGCACATACCTATATAGCCCATATATGGCAGTGCCCCCCCCGGGACAAGATCTCCTCAGTCACATCAATGTCTCAATGGTTTCTTTCTTACAGTCTTTATTGTTGCTGTTTCATTTCTGCGTATTCCTTTGACAATTATCTGAGCTTGTATGGAAGCTGGCAGAAGAAATAAGCCTTCAATCGGCATCAAAGCGCTTCGCAACTTTTGGTCCTCCGGCCAACGGTAATAAAAGTAACGCCAAAAAATCCAGATTTGGCCCAAATCGAAACTTAACAGGAACAAAATATCATTGATCAGTAATCCTGAGAAGATTTAGTGTAGTATTGAACTCGGCCAAGCGCGATGCAAACGGATTTTTCAAGGTTCTCTTACTCTCCTCGCATCTTTTGATTTCGGGACATCCTGTCCAAAAATCAAAGTTTGGTGCATGCGCAGTAACGAGATACTGTTCCTTTAAGTTAGCAACACAGCAATTTGCATGATAGGCCATTTAACCGTGACCTTATATTATGTCATCGATCGACCTTGCAAGGATCATATATACTGTACAATGTGTCTTTAGAAGTTTAGCAATCGTACTTTATTTGGGGAAGCAGAATATAAGTGAATTTTGCTGTAATTTGCCCTTTTAGTAGCATACTTGAAACTCATAAAGCGATATCGTGTGTCGGGTTGTGAAAATTGGAACAGTTCTCTCAACAACAGAAAGTATCACGTCGGATTTCAGCCATGTGAGAGTATTTATAAGCAACTTTATAAGCATGGTCAAATTATGACCTTGTAGCAGATCTAATACCTTAAGCTACATGCAAAGGGGAGTTGTTGTGTCCGTGTTGGCAGTGGTGTGTAAACAGATGCAACAACTCCAAATTCGATGTTGGGACCTGCAGTGCATCATAAGAAGAATACAACCAATAAGATTTTGTAAACCATGCGTAAAGTACGTGCATGGCCCCCAACAATAGGGGAAGAGCTGCACAAATGGATTCAACGTTGTTGTGCTATGTTTTTGCGATCATGGAACAAAAGAAATGTTGGGAGGTATTGGCTTAAAAGTTTGACCAATTTGGAACTTTGTGCAAAATGTCCATTGTGGGAGTTTATAGATTAAAATGACATTAATAATGATATTCAAATCATTTATGCAGGTCTGTACAAGCAGAATTATTGTTTGATGTTTCTTGATAGGCAAGGAGATGTGGAAAGTGCAATGAAGTATCTTGAGATGTTTGTTGAGCTGGCCGACAGATCTCAGCAGTTACCTGAACAACAAAAAGCTTGTACTTGTCTTGGTGCTATTTACAATTCACTGGTAAGGCATTTTGACATGTTTTAATTAAATGATTTGCAAGAACTCAACACATGATCCTAAAAGGTGAAACTAAACAATACATGAATGGTCAGAAATAAGTTGTTATTAGCAATGTTTAAAATATTCTTTGTTTGAGAATATTCAACACAAAACAGAAATGTTGATTCTGATTGCTAAGGAAAGGAGGCTTTTTTAACCTTTGTGGTCCACCATGCTTATATTAAACGCAAGGCTGACTTTTTTAGAATCTTTCTTAGTACTTGAGCCTGACATAAGTTGTGGAAGATAGAGCCAGAGATTACACTGTAATTTATGAGCTTGGCTGGAAGAAAAACGACTCCTGTCGTCAACGGATGAAAACACTGCGAGTTGCTAGCGCATTACATGACAAAAAATTGTTTTTGAGATGACTGAAAGGCAGTAAAGATTCTTGTGCATGCAAAGATTAACTCAAAATCAGTGTAAAGGACACATTCAACAGTTGCGCAAGTAACCTCAGCATTAAATAAAATTTCTTTTTGGAGGGATCCCTTGCAAAACAGAGATAGGATTTTGTGGCACTTATTATGAGGTCGGCTGAGCATGTGCCGTTAGAAAAAAATCTTTTGCTCACAACCTTCTTTAACTACTGAACAGAAATGTGCTTCACTGGTGACCCTGTGAAACGAGAGAAAGTTCAGAATGAGTTTTACTTCCCAGTTACCCCTCCCCTGGCCCAATGTTAAAACCAACTTCTCTTTTAGGGTAAAATGTTGGGTTAGGGGAGGGGTGGGTGGTTGGTTTCACAGATTCTTATGCTGAACACTTAAAGGGACAGTGTCCCGATTATGCGCACGCGCGAGCGTCATCTGTTTTTTCTTCAAAAGACAATAGAACTGTCAAATTGACTCGACAAGATTTCCTTCCGGACCACACCAGGCACCGACAGAAATTTGTTGTTTATATTCTCAAGTAATATTTTAGACTTTCGAGGAAGTCTTTCGTCTTATATAAAAATTTGGCTCGCGGTTTGAAGACTCATCGCGATTTTATCGCTAGCTGGGCCGCCTCGCGACCCGAAAATCTCGTTCCGCTCGCTTTAAAAACATATTTTCTAATTTGAAACTCGTGTCAGAGGTCAATCGCTCCAAGTCCAGTAATATCTGCCTGATTTGCTCGCGTTCTAGCCTCAAACGTTTGAAAGACATAAATAAAAATGCAATCTCAACGCTATGAATCATCACAAAGGTTAGTCAAAAATGATATTATGATTTCATGTCAATAGTTTTTCAACACATGTAACGCCTGTTTGTTTGATTTTGTCGGCCGTAGGGAGATTCATTTAAAAGTTTACTAACGCGTCGTTGCAAAACATTCTGCTTCACGAATCTCCCCTCCACAAGATCTCCTCAGTCACATCAATGTCTCAACGGTTTCTTTCTTACAGTCTTTATTGTTGCTGTTTCATTTCTGCGTATTCCTTTCACAATTATCTGATCTTGTATGGAAGCTAGCAGAAGAAATAAGCCTTCAATCGGCATTAAAGTGCTTCCAATCTTTTGGTCCTCTGGCCAACGGCAATAAAAGTAACGCCAAAAAATCCAGATTTTGCCCAAATCGAAACTTAACAGGAACAATATATCATTGCTCTATAATCCTGAGAAGTTTTAGTGTCGTATTGAACCCGGCCGAGCGCGATGCAAACGGATTTTTCAAGATTCTCTTACTCTCCTCGCATCTTTTGATTTCGCGACATCCTGTCCAAAATTCAAAGTTTGGTGCATGCGCAGTAACGGGATACTGTTCCTTTAATAATGTCTCCTCACTCTACAGGGTAAATATGAAGATGCTGTTCGCATGTACACAAGAGGCTTTGAGATAGCACAAGACCTTGCAGCAGTGGAGACGACAGAAACCACGAGGGTAGAATATGGCATTGCTTTGGCACATACAATTTTCACGGGCTACTCTCAGTGCTTGGATCAAGTCGGCAAGAGCAACATACAGAGATTGCTAGACTTTAAGAGCTCACGACTGGACACCTTCTCTGAAGAAGCAATAGCTGATGATGAGGCCACTAAGGGGAGTCTGCCCAGTAGTGATCTAGGCTCTGGAGAGCATGATGAGCCCCCTTTGGGGGATGGAGAGGAAAATTTGCCCAGCGATACAGCCCCTGGTGGGGAAACTAAGGAAGAACTAACAAATGGTGGAACTGATTCTGGTGTGACAAGTGAGGGAGAAGAGGGGAAGAAAGGACAGACAGAAGCTCAACAGGGATAGTCTCTCTTTTACTGAGACAATGAGTTTATTCCCAAGAATCACATGGAAGCTTGATGATCATGTGTCAACAAAACTTAGTTTAAGACTGGCAACGTGGCAAATAAGTGTGAAGTTATCTCCTGGATCCTTGCCAAAGGTTTCATTCTTAAAGTTCAGCAACTCATTCTCAGCAGAAGATCTTTTAAAGTAAAAACCATTTTCTTTCAGTGTTCAGATACGTTTGAAAGAATTAAAGAGCTTGTTCTCAAAATGCATTTGTACGAAAACGCCACGAGAGAGAACCTCGTGGATGCCAACAAGTTAATGTGGATGAGCTGTTGACGGAACCGATTAACCAATACATTATAGTGAGGTCTTACTGACATTATTGATGCATTCTTTTCCTCTCACAATTTGCACCTTCTTCAAGTTGTTTCCACATGCTTCTATATTTATATCGGTTGTATTTCCAGGTGTATTTCGCAACATTTTACTTGGGAAGGATAATGTATAGAGTTGGACTGTTAGTTATTTCAAGAAAATGTACATAATTATCATTGTAGAACATGTATTAAAGTCCTTGGCTTTGTACTCGGGGAAGTGTCTTGTTAATATGAGAGTTAGCCTGCGTGCAAGCTCTCCATACGAACCGCGAAGAAAAGCGCTGCTTTCTCTCGCGTTTTCTTTCGCGTGTTGCTCGCGTGTGCCTTCTCTCTACTCCCCTAAATGGAGAGCTTGCTCGCGGGCTGTATGAGAGGTATGGGCTATTACAAACAGCTTAAAGTAACATCATACTGTTTTCAATTCAAATGGTTGCAACAGTTATTTTATTCTCAATGTAGCCTGCGTAGCAGGCGTCGAAAGGGGTAGGGGATAGGGAAAAAGGGAGGGGGATTGGTGCTTTTCTCCCTCCCCCTTCCCTTCCCCTTTTTGGGCCTGCCACGCATGCTATTCTCGGTGCGGTAAAAATTAAACTTATGACCCATATCTAATCTACTACATTTGATATCTATTCAATCTATTTATTGGCCACCCTCAGGACCGGAAAGAGATGAATGAACACTGTTGACTTTACTGGAAAACTGTTTAAAATTACAAGAGTTTATTAAAATCATCGGAAAAAAGTTCCATAGTACGGCACCTCTATACCGTATGGAATGTTTCATAAAATTCAGTAGAAAATTATGGGACCACAACCTTATTATTTCCTCTTAGATTATACGGACTCTCTCTCTCTCTCTCTCTCCATGTAACTAAATTCTGAATCAAATAGGGTGTGTTTGGCTCCGCTAACAGATCTGCTTCATATGTTGCTGCCGTTGTTGATGTTGTTGTTGTTGTTGTTTTTTTTTTGACATAGGATCGCGGGTGGGATATGAGTCCTGGGAATCCGTGGTCGTTGTGTCGCCCAGTTCCGCCAAACCCTGACCCTATTCAAGACCAAATAATTGTCATTTTCCACACCAGTTTTCAGGCCTGGAGCTCGTTTCTCGAAAGTCCCGATAATTAACGGGCCTGTAAAGCTGTCCTGGTTGACATGCCAGACAGAGGTTTCAATATTTTTGCATCTTACATGATAAAACTATCAGTTAATGAAACAAAATGGAGTAGTTTGCCGGCCAGGACCCGCGCTCTTATTCTTTATATTTCGATTTGAATATTTGATAACGGGCCCGTAAAGTTACCGGGACTTTCGAGAAACGGGCCCCTGGGTCTCTAAAATCCATGCATACCCGTTTTCAGACCTGGCGTAGGCAGAACTTATGTTATCATTAGTTAGATTAGAACGCCAACACACAAAAGATTCCTTAAACTTCATAGTTTCGAATTCACATATTACTCTTCCTTTCTTATTCATGTGAAATTGAAAGGACAAATCACTGGACGAATACAGCGTCTTAGATCGCCACGCGCATGTATGGATCTTATTGGACGTTTGGTGGGTAGTAGGACCAGTATATATGCTGAGTATGCTGAGTACTCTGGCTGAGTACATTTTAAACTGATTCTCAGACGTCCGAGGTCGTTCTGAGAGAAGAGAGGGGACCTGGAAGACCATCAGACTTGAGTATTTTTATAAGTTTGAGCCCGCATACAGGGAGGAGACCGAAAAGGTCCTGGGGATGAGGAAGCCTTGCGATCATCAGTAAATGTGTTAAAGGTTGTGGAGGATTCGATTGCACTAAGGAATGGCAAGGGAGAGGATGGAATTCTCATTACACTGCGAAGTTACCGTGAATGATCAACTTGAAGCCGTGGAAAACTGTTTAAAGGCTGGAGAAGACCCTAATGGAATAGATGACTATGGAAACGCACCTCTTCATTGCATTAACTATTACGACGAGGAGGCGTTCAAAATGGTTGAACTTCTTCTTAGTTACGGAGCAAATATGCTTCAACGGGATCGTCTAGGAAGACTACCCTTTCAACATGCCTTAGAGTATGCAAATAAAAAAGCATGTCAAACTTTTCTAGACAAGGGATTTTCCCTGCAAAAGGCTGATCGCATGCGAAATGGAACGTATGAAATATTCAGTAATTTGGAGCTGTTTCAACTCGATGCCATTGAGGTTCTTCAAGTGCTTGTTGATCTCGGTGTGGATTTATCAGAAACGTTATCCTCAAACGGCGAAACCCTTCTACACAAGGCGGTTGAGTCGGGGGCTTCTGTAGAAACGGTGCAGTTTCTGACAAGAACTGGAATATCAGTAAACAGCAGCAATTGTCTGGGAATGACGCCTTTACATATGCTGAGATATTTAGACTGTACTAGTAATCCTGTCGATAAATATGACATAGAGGGATCGCGGCATTCAAAACTAATAAAGCTCTTCTTAATGGAAGGCTATAACGTGAACAATCAAGATGTATTTGGTCGTGCCTTGTTACATTATGTGATATCTGAACTGCGACAAAGCTCTCTCTTGCAGTTCATTGTCAGCCATGGTGCAGAGTTAAATATCAAAGACAGAAATGGTGTCACACCTTTACATTTAGCATGCTCCTGGGACAATGAAACAAATTTAAGGGAAATGGTTAATAGTGGCTGTGTGGTTGATATCGAGGACAACAATGGAGCAACAGTATTTCACTACACAGTTTTCTACAACAATGCTACAGGATTGAAATATTTATTAAATCATTGTAAACCTGGTTTAGTTTCTAAGCCAGACAACTCTGGCAGATCTCCGCTCCAATGGGCTGAGTACTTTGGATATGTGCAGCTAATTGATCTCTTTGAAGACTATTTTTCGTCCTTGAACAGAGGCTTGACAAGGACAAAGGTACCTGATGTGTTTCCACTAAAAGATGAGTTCAGTGACATCAAGAAGCAAGAAGATGTTGAAAACATGCAATCAAAGGACTTCTCTCTTACTAGCAACCCAAACAAAACACTGCAAAAACTGCTGACTTCGCCAGTGATCGGCAAACTACCAGACATTTCGGAGACAAAGGATGTTCAAATTGCAGTGAGAAACGTTATGGAGCAGGTTGCAGCAATCATTTCAAAAGCTTGTCCTCTGTTTACATTTGTACCTGAAATCTCAGGGAGCATAAGTGAAGGCACAAAATGTGGATTTCCTAATGAGTTTGACTTCCTGTGCACAATGGTCAAACTTGGTGAGCATTTCCAACAGCCAAATGTGGAATCCAGCCCTCCAATGTTTTGTCAGTTGCATATAAAACCTGATGTTCACCTTCAAGGTCATGAGATTTTGCAATATGTAGACAAAGACAACAGTTTTAGAAATGCAAAATTTGTTATTGACTTCAGTGATCAGCTGAATAGGGCGTTTTTGGAGAAGGAAATTTGGGATGACATCCCCACATTAGCACCAGTTAGTGTTTGTTTAATGGGAGCAAATGCTACAAAGATTACCCTGAATTGGCATGGGCAAGTTTACAGAGATATGCTGATTAGTGTAGATATTGTCCCTGCATTGCACTTCCCAAAGTTTTGGCCTCCAAATGTTTCTGAAACGGCATTGCTTCACCCAAAGATAAAGCAAAGAGGAGTCCATGTTGTCATGGCTCTGCATGGTGAAAGTTTTTTTCAAGGTGGAGAAAAACACTTTCGTCTCTCTTTTTCTCTGGCTGAGACTGCGATATTCCAGGCTCTTCCAGAGTATATTCATTCAGGTTACATTCTTGCGAAGGCTGTGAGAAGTACCTATGTGTGTCCACAAATTGAACCAAAGATTCCAGCAACGGAAGACCAATTGAGCAGTTCTGGTGAAGAACAAAACAGTGAAATGGAAACTGAGGAATCAACACACAAAGCAACAGAGTTGACTATGCAGGTGAATAGCAGCATCTCTGCGGAGACAGTTATATCCAGTTACTTTTTAAAAAATGCACTTTATGTGTTAGTGAATAGATCATACGAGAAAGACATCAACCTTTGTGTACAGAATGTATCGGAAGATGAGGTGATGATCTGGGCAAAACAGATCTATGACTTCCTTGAGAATTGTCTCCAACAGGAAAATCTGCCTTCTTTCTTTTTACCAAACCTTAACTTGCTAGAAAGGAGTTATGACTCTGAACAGCACGATAACGTGTTTTATGGTGGATTGGAATCTCACCCAATGGATGAAGACTTGATGCAGGATTTAGATGATGCACTAGAGGGCACAAGAGAGGCAGGGGTAGAACATTTGAGAAAACCTTTTATTAAAATGTTAAAGGGGATTGTTCAGTCTAACTCATAAATATAAAATCTATTAGTATATACTAAAACAGTGGATAGTGTTTTTCACATGCTCTGATTGGCTACTCAATCAGTGAATATCCTGCATTATTCACTAATTCACCTCCAGTTCCTCTGAGCGAGCGACACCAAACTCGTATAAGTTGCAAGCAAAATACCTTCACGGTTTGCTGTTGTAACAAACTAAGAAATTTCACAACTAATCAAGCAAGCTATTCCCAAAATACATGAAGAAGGTGATGAAGTTCTGTTTGGAAGTTTTAGCAAGTAAAGCTTTGTCTTTTTGACTTGAATTTATCGATAAAACCGGTGAAAAAGTTTTTTGTTTACAAATGCAAATTAAGCTTAAGTCTTGCATTACTTTATTTAGTTGACTTGTTCACAAATAAGGGTAAAACTAAATTTAATAATCTTTTTTACAGAATGAGTTTTAAATACAAAAAGAATTCACTACTCCTTTTGAAGAAACTTCCCCGCAAGAGCTAAACAAACGCCTTCAAAAGGTTTATTTGTTGCCAAGAAAAAGCGACGACCACGGCCGTTCGGCCATCGCACACCAAAATTGTAAGCGCTGGCAACAGTAAAAATTATCATTTTTGTGCTCAATTATCTCACTGTTTTAGTATATACCGGTACTAAAACAATTATTCACCGAAGTGGAGGTGGTTAGTAGTGGATATTTACCTCGCCCACCTCCACTTCGGTGAATAATTGTTATTTATTGATGAATTAATAAATAAATAATATTATATATAATCATAATTTCCACCGGCACTAAAAACATAACCTCAGAATTAACTTCTTTGGAAAATAACTTCTTTTCAGAAAATTGTAATAGTATTATTGTACTTTAAATTTATCTTTTTTAGCACATACTTCAGTATTTTATTCCTCATACAACATATCCTACATTCATTAGTCACCAGTAATGTGATACCAGGTTGCTCAAGGTGATTTTCTGCATCATAGAACGTAATAAGTTATATGACACCCTTAATTTCCTTTGGGCTGCCTGTGATTTTTTTTTTACATAAAGGGGTGAGCCCCCACCTAAACGTCTTATTTCAGTTTTCATTCCTGCACAGGGTTTCATTTTTAACCCTTTAAGTCCCGATAGTGAGCAACATCAATTTTCTCATAACAATATCCAGTAATTGTCAAGAGATACAGTTATGAGAATTTACAAATGATCACCAAAGAGAAAATACCTTGATCTGTTATTAAATTCTCTCAACTGATTCTTAAAGGAAATGTATGGAGATCAGTTTGGAGAATTTGTATGTTGATATTGGGACTTGAAGGGTTAATGGGAAGCCTTTAAAAGAGTGTGAAGGTCGGAAATAAGCAGTCTACGTTTGTTGTAGAAACAGTTTTTCTTAAACAATCTAATTCCATCATATTAATTATTACGTTAATCTGTATATGCTAAATAAAATGAATCAGGGTCAATAAAATTAATGAGGTCTTTTTATTTAATAGGTTAGTAAATGATCAATCATTGTCTTCCCAAGGAGTGCGGGAGGGGGGGAGGGGTAGCTCCCTCATAGCCTTCCAACCCCTAAACCATGTAAATCTGGAATGTTTGAAAAAACACCACTAAAAACCTGGAGACTGGGACTTTGAACCTGGATATTTCCAAAATAAATGTCAAATAAAACAAAAAAGGAAGATTATTTTGTCATGGAATAGGCCATTTGCACTAAGAGGTCATGTGACATCATTTTTATGAAAATGAAAGTTATATGATTTTGCTTTCGAAAAACGATAAGTGGGTCACATCTTAAACAAAATAATGGTGATTTGGTTTTTCAAACCCTCACCATTTTCTTAAAATGAATAAGTTCGTAAATGGTCACGTGACCAAAATGTGATTTTTAAAACTAAGAATTACCTCTCTCTGAACACAAATTTTGCACTTAAACTTCAAGGAAAATGTTGAAAAGATGATGTGCTAACGTTTACAGCACATCCGAGCGTAACTATCAAACGTTGAACAAGATATAGGCAAAAAGTAGTTTTGGCCACCACGTTGGAGGGCAAGAGCATGCCCTCCAACATGGCGGCCAATACAAATGATACTACTTTGTGGAAAAATCGAAGTCCCATAAAACATCTCCCTTAAATACGTTTCCTCTCAAATTTCGGGTGTAAGATAATTTTTATGTGCTCTAACAATTTTTGGCATCAGCAAGATTCCAACTCATTGTTTAAAGGAAGCATTGGTCACGTGATCTCTTAGTGCAAGTGGCCTATTCTTTACACTTGGCTATGAGATATAATTTACCCAACCAATATTACATTTAAATATTGTACAATATTTGGCTGCTCCAGCCACTAGTTTTTTTCCTTTGGAAGCTGAGGTTCCAAAGTTTCCAAGTCAGCTTGAGATTCTGTTTCACTATCCATGTCGATGGGAGGGGGAGTAGCCATTTTGAGTTTGCTAGTTTGTTTCATGGGGATGTGGTCGGGATTGGACCCAGGTTTCCCCCCAAAATTAGATCGATACAATTTTATTTGTCCATTACGAAGACAGATTTCCCAAAATTATGCGATTCCTACTGAAATTGTCTGGCAGTTTCAAGATTTTCCGATTCACCAAGAGATTTGGAGGCTAAATTGTGAGACCATGAGTTGACAGCCCAAACTGAGAGAGTTAGAATGTCTGCCCTCGAGCATTGGGGTTCTTATCTCCCTGAAGGAAACCAATCTAAATGTGACTCATGACAAGCTTTATCTCACCCGTAAAAGTAGGAGACCATTCTATATAATGCAGATAGCCAAACAAGAGCTAAGTGATACTTGCATGGATGAAAACAGATGTCCCATTTTAAAAACCCTAATTTATTTTATGCAAAAAAATTCAACAATGTATGCCTCTAAATCACATGAGCATCCCAAGTTTCATTTGACTGAGAGTTTCTCACCCAAGTGGTATCTTGCCATATATTAACCCTTTAAGCCTTAATATCCACATACAATTTCTCCAAACTGATCTCTATACATTCCATATTGAATGTGTTGAGAGAATTTGATAACAGATTAAGGCATTTTCTCTTAGGTGATCGTTTTATTAATTCTCAAAACATAATCTCTTGACAATGTATGGTATCATTAGGAGAAAATTGATGTTGGTCACCATTGGGACTTAAAGGGCTAAGTCGAGCTGATATTCTGATGTCTCACCCTGTGACTAGTAAAAACAATACTAATGAACCACTTTATTTTCACTGAATGTTTTTTATTATTATTATTATTGGCATAAAAGCTCTCGGCAAAGCTATTACATTTGATGTAATTTACCTAACAACAAATACCCTCCATAACAACATTCCAAAGGTTATGATTAAATAGGCATAATAACAAACAAGGCTTACAGTTTCACCAATGGCTCTGTTGGAATTCAACAGCTTTAACCCTTAAAAACCAAAACACTACAGAAGCCTTGAGCTGAAATACACCTATACTTGAAATGACAGAAAGGAAAAAAGATTGTTTTAAGAACTACTGTAAGAGCAAGAGGGATGCATATTTTTGGTTAAGACATCAAAGTTACTTTGGGACAAAGTTTGCTTTAGTTAATTTTCTAACCACAATTACACAACTATTAATATTATTCCTTCAAAATAAGAAAGTGATTTTGAAACAAAACCAGGGGTGAGTAATTTGATTAAACAGTACTGTGGAGTCCTTAAGTTTCCCTTTCTATCCCCAAAACAAGTATTTGCCAATATCTGACATTTCAATAAATGTTGCTACTTTTCCTGCCACGAAACTCACACATGCAAAGACGATACAACTATGAATTGACACTACTACAATTACATAAAATTCCATAAAAGTCTGGTCATAATCCATGGGCTTGATGGAAACATTCTGCTGCACCAAAAACACACTTCATTTTATTATATGGGTTCATCAAAAAGCAAACAGAGGACATAAACGTAATTTAACATTAAAAAGTCAACCTTAACTCCAACATTTATCAATGCAAAACAAAAAGAACTGTGACTTGAAATCAATATTATTTAACAATTATTCCTTCCTCGGGCTCTGAGTCAATAGCCCATGAGGCCGAAGGCAGAATGGGCTATTGATTCAGAACATGAGGGCAAGAGGAATAATTGTTTTAGTAAAATCCAACTATTTGGTCAAAAATATCGAGACAAAACAACTTCAGCTAGTTAAAGCTAGAGTTTAATCCTTTTTTGCTGCCAAAAAGCCAGCACTTTTCGCTACGAGTGGGCTATAACATATAGCCTAGTAGTGGCTCAATCAATCAGAATGTGTCATTGATAATAGACCACTGATTGGATTTGTATCGGTAATAATAATAGAATGTTTTGTAGTGATATTTGGCAAAAATACCATGAGTGATATTTCAAAATTGTTATACGTAATTTCACGAGCTGTTTAGGCAAGTGAATTTTGAGACAATTTTGAAATATCACGAGTGGTATTTATGTCAAATATCAAGTACAAATCATGCTATTATTTGTTTATAATACTACCTGCAAAAGGTTTGTAATTTTCACATGTAGGTATTTCAAATTAAGCTGAAATACCAGTTCTCTAACAGCGTGCAAAGAAAGTACTGTCCGATAGCCCGGGGCTAGTGGATTTTGCTATCGGGCTAGTGAATTCTGTTTTTAACTTGCCCGACGGGCAAGTGATGTTGTATGAGGAATTTGAATAACAGAAGAACAAAACATTTTTGGGGCTAGTTGAAATGACGTCTGGGCTAGTAAATGCTAGCTTCAGCTTGCCCAAAGGGTAAGCTGTAAAAATGATTTTCTTTGCACCCTGTCTCTAAGCCAATCAAGTTGCAGAAATTTCTCATGTAGTAGTATAATACTAAGAAATAAAATATCTGGAATCCACAAAAAGGGTCGTACATTGGGGATTGTTTGGGTTATGACCAAAATTTTATGGCATGTAAATGAAAACCCATTATATAACTACAAGCAAAGCAAGGCAAGCTACAAAGCAAAGTGCACTGATTCTGAGATCTTGGGATCAGTTCTTTCCATCAAACTGAATGGCATCAAGAACTTTGTTCAGATCATATCCTTTGGCTTTGATCAGCTGACTCATCCAGCCACTGTCATCCTCAAACCCCATGGCACGCATCTTTGCTATGGCTACCTCCAGAGGGTTAGTGGGATCAGGTTCATCTGCACTAGTTCCTGAAGCACCTTCACCTTGATGTTCTGTGTTCTCGTCAACCAAAACAAACTCTTCTGGTGACTGGACATCCTGTTGATAAAGCACAAGACATGATTTGTGAGGACTTCAAGCCCTAGGATTTCACGGCAACGATCTTTTCCTGTACCATGTCATTACCCTGGTATTAAAATAAAATTTAAAAAACAGGAAAATAGTTTTCCAGTGAAATTTTCAGCCTTAGGGGTCAATTTACAGAAATTCACATCTATTTTTCCACTCAGATTCTAACTAGTAGGGCAATTCTTTAGTTATGGCTCTGCTTATCATACAAAACTTTAAACAAATTTAAAACACTCAAGAGTTGGGTTCCCATGAATTTTCACATAACCAAAAAATTTATTGTAACAGCATTCTCCGGGCTGAGAACCTACTGCAAAATTGTTTTTCCTGGGATATGTAATCCTGAGGCTTACGACTGGATCATTTTTGCAACACTGCCATTACTAGTACAGTTGGAATTGGATCATGGTGACAAAAAGAACTGCTGCAGTAGTTTACACTAGTTTTGCAATGACATTGCAAACTCTAATACAAAAGCGATAAATGTAGAGAGATGGAGTAGAGCCCTAAGTGACTCACGACTCTATTTTTGCAGAATTTGGACGGAGAATCTTCGGGTTTGACAGAGGTCGTTTGGGACATTTACAAATTGCATGCTTGAACTAGACACATCTGAATCTTATTACTACTTCAAAATGAATCTTAAATCGAATCAAAAACTGTCTACCAAAAGGTACGTTTCCAATTATTATTATCAACCTTCCTAGAAAAGACAAAAGGAAGACAAGTTAAAGTTGTAAACCCTTACCATTTCTGCAGTCTCTCCATTTACAGAAGTCACAGGTACTGTGTCACCTTGGTCTTCATTGGCTGGTGTGCCTGTGGACTCCCCTGATGGACCATCTTCTGCATTGTTTGAGTTTTCAGTAAAACCATCCTGACATCTACCTTGGCAACAATCTGCATCAAAAATATCATAATGACAAAAATGTTCCACAATAAAAAAAATTTCAACGCATTCACTTTCTAATGACAGCACGGTAAAGATAAAACTAGGCTGAGAAAACAGCAAACATTTGGCAATGCTACCACTGGTTTCCCCGACAAATGACCTCTGAGAAACGAGCACAGAAATTCCATACTGATGACGCATCACTACCCAAATCTGGGTTGTGCTTCTGATTGGTTGAATCAAATTTCCCAAGCAGCACGACCAATCAGATCTGGGTAATGACGCCTCAACGGTATGGAGTTTCTGCGCTCGCTTCTCAGATGTCATTTGGCATGGAAAACAGTGGTAGTGTCAGCAAATGTCGGCTGTTTTCTCAGGCTAAGATAAAACAAAAGATATCTTTTTTCTCTGAAAAACAGACAAAATGTCATACAAATGTCTAATGAAACTAAAGTTCTTTACAGCATTTTAAACTATACCGCTTTAACTAGGAAAATTTTTTTTTTTCCAAAAATATACCTAGGTGTTACCATAACAGGATTTGCTACAACAGTAGAGCAGGAGGTTGTGGGTTCAATTGCCAGAGCGGGACTAATACTTACGGTCATAAAAGTAAGGACTTTATGACCTCCTGTCTCCATTAGGGGATGTAAAAATAGCTTCCTCAATATTTATTTAGTCCTTTTGCGCTAAAGACATTGAAACTCAAATAAAGTGTATTTTTTTTTGCTTTGTTTTTTTTTAGTTATGCCTGGCACATAGTACTATTTTCCCAAATAGCCTTAAATACAGCATACTGTACCTGTTTCATTACTGGCATATGTATGCACTTCTACACCCAAAGGTCCAAGAAAGGAAGCAATAGTCTCCCCGACAGCATGAAGAAATGGTGGGCCAACAGGAACATCAGTACTTTCATTGGGTGCTTCACCAGAATCTGTTTGAGCATGGCGGTCACACTTGTTTTGTCCACTGTGACAACGTGGTTTTCCTCTTCCACATCGACGACTTCCCCTCCGTCCATAACCACCACGCCCCCAAGGACCAAATCCATGCCCTAAGTCAGCATACACCTGAACATTTGGATGGAGGTGTGGGTGTGGTGGAGGACCATGAGGAGGGTGGTGTGGAGGTACATGAGGAGGGTGATGTGGGGGATGGAATGCAAATGGATTCATGCCATGGAAAAAGTTATAACCCTGGTCCCTTGGAGTGGAAATGCGCAGCATCTCATGTTCCTTATGTTTGCCTTTGGTTTCACATGTCTGGCAAAGATCAAAGTCTGGGCACACCACACATTTGAAGCGAATTCCAAAAATGTGCTTCTCACAGCCGTCGCAAACCACACCAGGATGAGCTGGGCCAGACTGTTCTGCATTGATGCCTTCCCCTGCAAAAAAGAATTAAGGAGCCGTGAGCAGCTTTCCCTGGACACTGTTGGTAATAGAAATCGGTCAAAAACTACAAGACAATACGTAACATTAAATTTTTGACAAATATTTTCAAATTCAAGCACATCCCTTTTCTAGTTATTGATAATCACTGTCCAAATTTTTGCTGACTCATGATGAGTGGAATTCTTTCAAAAGAATTGGTGACCATTGCCACGTTTTGCTTTTGGGTGAAATGTTGATGACAGGGCAAACCAGAGAAAACACTTTTGAAAAGATCTTTATGACGAAAAAATGGGTAGTTCCAAGCTAAAGCACATAAAATGTCGCGACTTTTTTACATCACAGAAATTTATTTAAACATAAGCTTAATGAAAATCATTACAATTGAAAGTTCTTCTCACCCTCTCCCAAAGAAGAATCTCGAGAAGAGTTTTCATCGACCTTGACATAAACACGAAATACGTCTCCGCTGATGCTCCCCAAAGCCTCCACCAGCTCTTCGTCGCTTGAGAAGGTTATCATCTCATTATCTGCATCTGTTTGGAAAGGGAAATACAATTTTCCACGCAATTGAACGTCTTTGCAGATTGCAAATTAGCGCGAAAAAATGTTTATCTGCGTTCGACCCTGTATTAGTAACGTTTTTCCACCGAGCAAATTTAAAATCAAAGTAAACTAAATACGCTTTACCTTTCCAAAAAAGTTTGAAAATCTTGCCCCTCACAACTGGGAATACTTGCTCTATCTTCTGTGCCAAATAGGCGTAGCTAGCAGAAACTCCTTCGTCGATGGCGAACCGACGAATTTCTTGTTGATTGGTGTCTGGGTGAATGTAAGCCTTTACAGAAAGAGCCATTTTCTCTTGTCTCTGTCAGATAGAATTCTCTCTTGAAAATCAATCACTTGCTTCTTCAATACCTGTATGAATAGCAGAATAATAGGTGCTGCCTCTTTTTATACCACTTTGATCCGTTTCTAGAAAGGTAGGGACTGTCAGCAATTTTAGTGCATCGTCAGCTCTAGTCATCCATATACAGGTTGTAAATAAAGTGACGTCATCAGTTGGAAACTGGTGTCGATACAAAAGTTGTTTCGATATAAGTCGATTCGATACGAACTCACGCAGTGAAATTGCACAAAAATTTCATTCGCTTCAAGTACAGTTTGCGCATGAAAAAAAAATTGGATGAAGATTCTTCGCTCTTTACGCCAAGGAGGTGAAAATGTTTACACCTTGGTTAAATAAACTTTTGACGAAACGACTTGTATCGAAACGACTTTGAATCTCGACTTTGTATCAAGACCACAGGCCACCATAATGGCAAACGAAAACACCCTGGGACGAGTTTGAAGACCCAGAATGCATTGTGGGCGATTGTTGGCAGGAAGACGCGAATGGACGCGAACCGCTTTCACAATGTGTGCGGGCTAAGAATCGATCGAAACTCTGTTTGTAGCTTCAATCATGTCTGTTGATTTAGCATCAGAACCCATCTCAGAGACTGAAAGGCAACAGTACTGTGTGGAAATGATGCAACGCCTCAATATACAGCGAAGAAATGAGGATTCCTGTGATCTGATTCTTGAAGTTGGCTCTGGTGATGATCAAGCTCGCTTGAAAGCTCATAGAAATGTGTTGTGTGCCGCAAGTCCGTTCTTTTATAACGCTCTAAACACTGAAATGAAAGAAAAGAAAGAAGGAGTGATCCGACTAGAAGAAGCTAGCAAAGGTCTGATGGAAGACATCTTGGAATACTTGTATACGGGACATGTTTACATCAGTGAGAGGAATGCTGTGGATTTGCTTGCGATGGCAGATTATTTGATTATTCCATCCCTTAAAGTAAAATCATGTGAGGTTATCACGCAATCAATGTCTCACACAAATTGCTTACTGTTCTATTATGCTGCTATGAGGTACCAATGTACTGGATTGCAGGAACGAACGAGGAATTTTATCTTTGCAAACTTCATGAGCGTGACAGGCACTGACGATTTCCTTGAATTGAGCAGGAAGCAAGTGGAAGAGTGGATTTCAAGCGATGAAATTAAAGTGAAAAGTGAGGAAGAAGTTTTCCAGGTCATTGTAAGGTGGATGGAAGAGAGAGAGATTGGAGAACGTGAGGAATTTTTCCAACTCCTTCGTCATGTTCGTTTCATGCATGTGCCCCGCAGCTATGTTTTAAGCAACATTTTGCCTCATCCCTTAGTCAAAGGCTCTGAAGCCTGCATGGCATTTGCACTAGACTCAACAAAGACCACAAGTTTGAATGGTTTGGCTCGGCCACCAAGAAATTGCCTCAAGAGGTGTGAACATGGCCTTTTTACCATTGGGCGGGAGAAATCTTTTTGTTACCTTCCTTCCGAAAACAAGTGGCATGAAATGTGTAATTTGTTATCTGAGACAAAATTTCCCCCTTCCTCAAGTGCTCTTTGTAGTAAGTTGTATGTCTCTAGGGAAGAAATAGAGAGATATGACCCATTTTCAAACTCTTGGGTTTCCTTGATGTATAACAGAGGTGTAGATAAATACAAAAGGCCAGCTTTGGTCACTTTTCAAGGTTTTTTGTTTGTGGTTGGTGGGGTAACCTCTGAAAAACGAGTTGTTGATAAGGTGCATAAGTACAACCCAGATACAGACCTGTGGCAGGAGGTAGCGCCAATGAGTGTTGCAAGGATGGGTATGTGTGTTGTTGCTGATGAAAGTTCTATGTATTCAATAGGTGGGTGGTCACTGAATGGAGTGGTGAATGTTGTGGAAAAATATGATCCTGAAAGAAATTCCTGGAGCAGAGTTGCTTCGACAAGAGAAAAAAAGATGTATTGTTGTGGTGTAATGGTTAACAGTAAAGTGTTTTTGTTTGGAGGATTGAAGAGCACAGCACCAAAGGTAACTTCAACCCTTACTGAAATATATGATCCTTTGTCAGATGTGTGGACTAGTGTTCAATATACACCTTTAAGATCATTACCTGTCTGTGCTGTGAGTTTAAAACAAGATATTTTTGTTTTGGTTTTGTCAAGAGAAAATGATCAGGTAGTCTCTCGAGTAAACATTTACAATGGTGACACAAATGAGTGGAACCTTTGTGCTGATGCGCCAACTGGAGTTCAGCTGTTCAGCTTGGCTCCATTAAAAATACCAAGGGACATTTTAACAGCATGTAAAGTTGTGACCTAGGAGCTAATCCCCTAAAAGTTAGACCAGATACAAAAACCTCACATAAGCAACCACCCAAAATGTGGAGAGTTATTGGTTGCCTACAGGAGGTGGTTTTTATGACAGTTGAACTCCTGGAGGTCTTTACGAGGAGAAGTCCTGACACATCTACTTTTTGAAGAGAATGTATTTCATGCAATTTTTAGGTTAAAATATGTGTACTGTAAATCCATGTTGTTTCTGAAAGTTTCCCTCATACTCTGAGTAGTGTGGTACATACAGTAAACAAAAAGATCAGATCATTATATCAGGTGATCCCTTAGAAGAGGTTGAAAACAATGGAACTAGAGGTGGTCATTTATGAGAGGTTGGACTAAAAGGCTCTGACTGGGAAAATTTTTGTGTTCTAAATAAGTGGTCGCTTATGAAGGTGGTCCCTGATGAGAGGTGTTCGCACATGGAGGGTCAACTATAGTAGACTTAACTTGCTGGAATACACAATCTAGAAACTGTTTTTAGGAATCTAGATATCACCCAACTTCCAGTGGCAGATCCGGGGAAGCCCCCCCCCTTACCCCCCTTATTTTTAGACCATTCTGAAAAAAGTTGTTTTGGAGACCCCCCCATATCTCAGGGTCTAGATGACCGGGTCCACCCCAACCCCCCCCGTAAGGGTCTAGGGTCTAAATGGGGTGGTGACTTTTACAGTTATCAGCTAAAGTTTTGACCCTTTTACAACTATCGGTTAATTTTTTTTCCAGTTACGGCTACATGCAACGAAAAATTTAATAATTAATTTCTTTTGTTTCAAAGAGTTAAATATTAATAAACCTGTATTTCTTGTATCTTTAAAGCAAGATCATCTCAGCCGGGATGAAATAAGTTGTTCTCTTGAAAAATGTTAATATTTGATAGAATTATTTGATAGATCATACTTTAAAGCATTTTTCTTCTAATACTTTTTTATGCATAGAAATGGTAACTACGAGATTTTCACTATGGAAAAATTAGTTCCCATAAATTTCTGCGGGAGTATTATTTTGCGATCAGCAACATAAAACTCCCACAAAAATTTCTTACCACACGGTATCTTAGTATAAAGCGTATTACTTAAGAGTGCTTATATTACTGTTCAGCTCAATTTCACCATCTGAGTCAAGCAGGAGGGGTCGTTCTAGATCAAGCTGCTGCTAGGTCGATAAAGAATATTTTTCTGTTTTGCGGCTGTTTTTGGCGAGGCGTCAGGTCAAATGACCCTAGACCGAACTTCCTGGCTCGCTTGTTAAGGCAAAGAATGTCAATAACGTTTTTCTTGAAAGTGTCCGATGTTCCTTTTGGACTTTGAGTCTTGCCTAGTATCTTTCGATTGGACTTTCCTCGCCCATTCGAATAAATACTAGCAACAGCTTTCAATACCCACCATTTATGCAGGCTAACTCATATGAACACGTTGTGAGGGAAGCGTGCCGATCGAAACGTTCTTAGGGGCCGAGTATTTGACTTTTGAGGGTTGGGGGGAGGGGGGCATGAAAATTTGCCTTGCGTAAGAATTTTTTCCCAAACCTCTGGTGATAGAATTTTTTCTCCTGACGCACACAGGTGTAGGATTTTTTTCCAGACTTATACGCCATTAAAGATATTTTTTCAGTGTAGGAATTATTTCCTTCGAAATAAGTCTGCAGGACATTTTTTTGCTGAAATCACCCATATAGCCTGTGTACAGACGTCCCCCCTCCCTGAAATAAAAATCGGGAGAAGAAACTCTGTTCTCCCGATTTTTTTCTTAGGGAGGGGGGACATCTGTACGCAGGGTATCACCCATACGGTCGTACCCCCTCAGTTGAAAGTCAAATGGTGGGTCACTTATAAGGGCTTCGTCATGCGTTCCTTTCCCACGCTGGGGTGGCTGATTGTGTGACGAGCCAAAAGAATGTCTGCGTGGGAGGCAAGCGATAGCTTAGTATGCGTGGCAGGCGTTCGAAAGGGAAGGGAAGGAAATTTGGGCGCGAGACCGCGCGTCTCGCGTGGCCGGAATCCCCTTCCTGTTCCCTTTCAAACAAAGTACTAAATTAACTGCAAAAACCGTGGACGAAGATCCTGCTAGCTGTAAACGTTGGATCTCTAGAAAAGAGATCTAATCAGCCAAAATATAACTGAAGAACCAAGAATGAGAAGCTTTGCAGTAGTCTTTGGACTTCTCGTTCTTGGTTCCCTTTCAAACCACGCCTGCCACGAAGGCTACCGGCGGTCGTGAAAAGGTGCTTGGCCTAACGTGCGTACACAGTAAAAGCGGCTGCGAAATAAGAAACGCGAATTTGTCATAAGTGAGTTCAACACCTTCCCAAACAAAAAAAACAAATCTAGGGAACATTTTTTTACGGTTAACTCTTTTTACTCTATTTAGGTAGCCGGCGAACAGAGACGCGACTACGGAAAATACGTCTGCTGTTTGCAGGCTATATTTACGGCTAACGGTTAAAATTTTTCAATTTTTACAGCTATCAACTAAATTTTAGGCCGTTAACCCCTTTGAGACCCTCTTTCAGGTATTTTCTAAGGTAGCCTGTGCCTGTGGAACAAAACTTCTGGTTAAGTCTATCTGCGAAACAGCCACATTCAGGCCCTTAAAGAGCCGTAGGGACGTGGGAGTGCGACGGGTGTGCTCGCACCCGCCCACAGGTTCCAGAGGCTGCTAGCCAGGGAGAAACATTACTTTTA